CTGGATGAGCCACTGTCGGCCTTAGGGGCCTTTACAGTTCCGACGGGCTTGAGGTGGCCTGGCGCACGAGGCGCCTAGCCTGAACCTCGGTGGACAATTAGTTCATGTTTCTCTTTTCTAATGTCCATAACATTAAAATAAAATTTCTTTGTTGCAAAACATATATTTCATCTAAATCCCGTTGCAACACGCAGATCAAATCTCGTTACGGTTGTAAAGTTAAAGGCATATAAATAAATAAGTTATCCGCTAATTTATATCTAAAACAATTCTCCAAAAACCTGTCTTACAATAACGTGTTAATATTTTTATCTCGTGACGCGCATCTTAAACAGATAAAAATTGGGCATTTAATGTAAAACACATTGTCTACGTAATACACGACCTTGCTTCTTTTGATAAGTTTAATGAAGATGCATGGTTTCGATTTCAATGCCACTTAAGGACACTGCTCAAGCCATTATAATTAACAATTGTTAATCAGTATACAACTTTATTATGGCCTTTGCACTCGTTGAAATCTTGATATCTAAGATACGTCTTATATTTTGTACTGCATGTACATATAGAATATTTTAATTTGTGTGAAAAACCGTTCAAGTTTAGATATGCGAAATAATTAAAAGTTCAAAGTCTCAACAAATGAAACAAATAAATTTTAAAAAAGATTAAATCCCCACGTAGTAATACGTGAATTGAATTTTAAAAGAAGTTACGATTATTACTAGCCCACTAAGGTTATGAAAAGGATTAAGATTCTTCTGAGAAGACACGCAAAATCACTCTGTTTTTAGAGTGATATTGCGCGTCTGTATTTTTCTCTTTGACTATTACATTGCAAAATAAAATTGCATCACTTACAGAACAACTAATCTTGATTAAGTCCAGCAGTGTAGTAATAAGGAAGGGTAGACAATAAAATTGTCGCGATTATTATAAGCCTAAATTTTTTGTCGTGAGTGTAAGTTAATGTTCTAAAGAAATAACAACACACAGTCATCCCGTAGAAAGTTTGAGAACGGCTTGTTCTTACTTACTGTGTCATTGATAGAATAAATATAAAATAGAAAAGAAAATAAGCGATTATAAGTTTTATTCTTGATGCAGAATCAATTTTATTTTGTATATATTATGAGAATCTTCGTAAGTACTTCCTCAGTGACTGAGTTGCTTTTGTAACTGTGTTGTTGAAAATGGAAAACCCGAAATTCACTAAGGATTTCCTGAAGGACTTACTTAGATATTATTATGCTGTGATTATAACTTAACTCTGTCAACAATCAGTACGCTTTGCTATTGCACTATTTCAAATGGAAATCTCGTTATTATAATGTTATAACTAAGACTATAAAATTAAACACCATGTAAATCATTATATCGCGTTTAATTTTAATTTCGATCACCCGTGACCATAAACAACGCAAAAAAATTGAGAACTCAGGAATTGCCATTGAAATAATTTTTTTTTATTTAGAAGTGGCCAGCACTTGACTGCCATCCCACCTGATGGTAAGTGGCGATGCAGCCTTTGATGGTAAGCACGCTAGCTCAGTAAAAACCTATTCACTCTTGCCTTGAAGACTCCTACGTTGTAAACGGAAAGATGGCAAGCCAGATGGCATTTTGCAGCCCCAGCCCAGATATGGCAACAGTACTCCCCACTACACACGATCGGACTTGAGCTTTGTATAGCGTAAGAAGCTGTCCCGGTATGAAGTGCCTTCGCACCTTTGCAAGGACACCTAACTTCTTGCAGCTGACCTGGCTTTAAACTCAATGAACCGCCCAAAGTTGAGGTCTGAGGATATTTCGATAATTTAAACCCTAATCAGCCCCAGGCCCAGGTAAATAAGCAATAACCCGGTTATCTTTTTGCTGGCGAGTATTTTAAATACGCTTCTCTTAAGCAGCTCCATCCTGGACGCCTGGAAAACCTTAGTTATCTATAGTTATCGGCATTCGCAAGTCAAACAAACCGTCCAACCAAGCCACCAAATATCGCAGATTAACGTCCTCAATTGCTTGAGGAAGATATATTGGCATTATTCTTAAAAAATTGAAGGACTATCTTTATTCGGAATGCCCTTATTCCTCCTAAAAAATTCTGTTTTCGATCGAATCAATCTTGTCACGAACAAATCATTCGCCTGACGGAGCACATCTTTTAATGCTTCAATCACACAAAACACATAAGTAAGGATGCACTCTAATTTGATGCCAGAAATATATTTCTGGCATAATGGTTCGCTCCACAAGCTGTTCGTACTCAACATACCAGATAGGCTCGAGCACACCATTAGAGTTGAGAGCACATTCTTTACGAGTCACTCCTTCAGAGTTGTCGTTCCTCAAAGCTCCTGCCTCTCACCCTTGCTCTTTTCGCTATTCACTAGTGACATCCCAAAAGGTCCACAAGCCCACCTGGCACTTTGCAAAATTTTAAACGATCGCGGTTTTTGACCAAATAGAAGGCAAAAAAAATAAAAATAGAAATTTTATTTTTTCGGCTTTAAGATTTATTACAAATATGTTAATTTAATTTTATTATATAATAATATAATAAAAATTACATATAGTGTTTCTTTTAATTCCGTTACTGGACAATGGAAACTTAGTCGCGGGCATAAGCTGCTGCAATATATCATACGGTAACGATGATAAATACGGTTGAAATAAGACTATTTTACGGTTTTTATAGCGACATACAATATCGCAAACGAATTTAAAAACAAAATATATGTTCTATAGGGAATTTAATTAAAATAAACGGCGATAAAATCATTACACTAAATATGTTCCATAACGGATGTTACATTTCCTTTTCAACCGACTTCAAAAACGGAGGAGGTTCTCCATTCGACTGTATTTTTTTATGTTTGTTACCTCAGAACTTTCGACTGATAGAAACGATTTTGATGATTGTTTCTTTATTTGAAAGCTGGTGCCCATGTGGTTCCATATAATTCAATAAAAAATAATCATTGGTAGTGGGTCATGGGCTCCGGAGATACGTAGGGAACTCCTGAAAATCAATTATAAAATGAATACAGAGCGAGATATTTGAAGTCGGTTTTATTCTGGGTTAGTAAAAATTTATTTGTTACAAAACTCGTCCGGGCCCCCATAGCCTCTTAACTTTTGCACGTTCTCTAGTGAGTGAACTAACCGAGGCCCAATCAGTTAAGGTTGGCTACGCAATTGCAATCACACAGGTGCGCCGCAGACCTGTTTGCATAAAAGAAAGTTAGCAATTTTTCATAAGACCTGCTAATTTTCTTCTTAAAGACCTGCAAATTTATACTTACTTTGTTGATACTTCACAGTTTAAATAAAATGTGTAAGTAGTCAATTTGTGATCATCGTTTAAGATTGTTAAGTTTATACGGAACTCAAATTTTGCGGATGCTACTCGTGTTCGACTTTTTCGGCGGATTGGCTGACTTCACATATCATCGAAATATTTTTTTTTTGTTATTATTTCGAATATATGCAGGTTTCTTCGCGATGTTTTCTTTCACCGGAAAGAAGACAAGCGACTGACTTAACTCGTGCTTATCGGTATAATCACGAGTTAAGTCAGCACTTTATTATTTGCACAATTAACAATTCCATTCGTGCCGGCACCTGGGATCGAACACTGTCTGTAGGAGTCAGGATGCTCGACTACATTGAATTAAAAGCGAGCAGTCGGAAATTGTGCCAGTCGATTCAAAACTCATCTATTATATCCTTTATAAGAGGTACGTGTCTACGTTTTAAATTATTGCAGAAATTTGGCATTAAACATTAAGATTTGTTTTACCCAAAAAACCGGTTGCAAATTGTTAGATCCGTATAAAACCAATTTACCTTGAACAGAACAAGTTTACATAGATATGTTATAGGAAGCAAAAAAGTTTTCTTTGAGGTATTAGTAGTAGACATAAAGCTCTATATCTGGTTTAATATCTAAGATTCAAACACAATTTGTATTCAATTTAGTGAAAGTAATTACTTAATAATAACGTTTATATATCTCATATTTTATGAGAACACATTGTAAAAAGTTTTCTTATATTCAGAATTGTTGATGTAATAGCGACGTTTATACGTAACGGTAACCACCGTTCATTACATAATGTCATCGAGGATAGGGTAGAGGGAAAAATTACTAATTAAAATTATAGGTTGTGTAACTTGCATTAATTTAGACTGTGATAAACTACCATACATCTGTTTACCATAGAATCGTTTGAGAAAAACCTTTTCAATGTTAAGGTTAGTTGATCTTATTTATGGTTTAAAGTGTAGAAAAAACTTTATGTCCACGTTATTTATAATAATGCGGAGTTATAAATTATATATACCATCCTAATACATTTATAATTTTTTCCTTTAGTTATTATTTATTTTTCTTCAATACAAAAAAAATGAAGGCTCTTTTTTATTAATTAACTTAGCAATAAATCTTCTTTAAAAAGCATATTAATTGCGTCGTTTATTTTATTTTCCCTCTTTTTACTTTTGCCAAGCTTTGGTCAAAGCATTCCTTATTAGTTTAAAAGCCAAACCAACAGCTATCTCATAAACTATTTTTTTAAACTTTGCTCACAGCAAGAAATTTACCAGCGTCCTCTTTCCGTCCGATAATAACGTGTTAAATATACATATAAGGCAAAAGCAAACAAACTGTTACTGAACTAGCGTGTTTAACAACTACGGCTCATTCATCACTTAGCATCATGTGAAAAATGGGACATAAAATAGTCAGTTTACGATAAAAATTCCTTGAATCACGTGACTGAGACACACCTACTTTTAAACCAATATTGAGGCGAGTTTTTCTTGACGAGGCTAAACTATAGGTTTGATGCACGATGCCTTTATGGAACCAGTTTCAAATCTAACACTATAAGGCTGCGTTCGCAATCAGTCAGCGTTTACCATTTGTCTAACACAGTCTCTTATCTCGCTGCAACGATCAATTCAAATAAGTCTCAGTGCGGGTTTCGGTAATTACAATGAGTTTGGTTAAAAAAACTTTTCATGCTGCTATAAAATTGAGTATCAGGAGTTATTGTGTAAAAACCTCTATTTGGAAAGCACCGAAAATACTTATAACCGGTGAGTGGTTAAGCCATTGATAATTGATTCCAGGGATACTTTAAAATTTTATATTTCTATTTTAATTAATATTATTAGTTATGAAATAGTCATAGACCGTGAAGAAGTGATCTACAAAGTAAATCGAATTTTCAAAGGTTATTTATTGGAATTATATACCTTTAGAAGTCATGTTTAATTTTACTTATATTGCTTCGCAATCAATAAATATTTTCTGTGAGTGGTTTTACGACCATTAGAAAGATTAGTTTATATTAACCAACACTACAATTCTCGTAGTCTTATCAAATTATTTTACGATTGCTTTCATGAACTACCTCATAGTACATTTTACACAAAAGGTGAGCGACGTGTTAAATTACGATCACAGTAACAGTGCAACGTACCACGAACGTTATCCACAACACGTTCTATCAAACTAAGGTACGCAATAGAATGAGCAAAACACCGAGATCGCCTATTATTTGGAACAGTGAACGTCTTATGCGGTATTGCATTTACGACAGCGTGTAAGTGTAACTGAAGTTTCCAATGTCTAACTATGAATAACAGCCGGATTGCAAACTTGGAAATCCGATTGGTTCCCACTATGGGAAGAATTTAGGCAATTCACATAAAATTGGTCATTTATTGGTCGTATTTTTTAATGAAATATTTCCAAAGGCACTTTCAAGTGCATTGAAATATGCATTTTTGATTAATATCATTTTAATTGAAAAGTATTTACGATAACAGTTCTAACTTTGTGCTTTTTTCGGTAAAAATCAAATCTGTCCTCAATTAGGGATGCAAATAAGGGGTGTTGTAAACACACCTGGCAAATGAATTTCCTAATTATTTACCATTTTATTACTGATACAATAACGTCACAGGAATCTAACCCGATAAGAGTACAATACGTAATATGAATCTACGTCTTTGAAACTAAAGTAATTTGAGATTGGTTCGTGAGGATAATGCATACATGTGTCTTTGAACATTGAAATATGATACGTGATTTCAAGACATTTACGTATTATGTTATACCTAAAAAAATAGTAAACAGTTTTAGGAGTCACATAAAAATAATTCTCTTTTCAATAGAAATATATAACATGGTATGGACCATTCTATGAGTACAATCTTTTGTAGTTAATAACAAAAACGTTTACACGTATTGTTGTATTTTATAAGTCGAAAAGTAACAAAAAAAGCCTTAAAAGTACAATACATTTATAAAAATTTTAACTATGCAATTGTTGTCCAACTTTATACAATATTAATAAAATAGCTTAAGAACTTCGTTGCAATATACTTAATACTTATAATATAAGAAACCTTTATCTCTTAAGTAAAACTATTTTCTGCTTTTACTGTAGAGAAAAATAAATCTCACTGATAACCGCTTTTAACGCTAGTAACGCATTTACGGCTGTTTAACGTAAAGTTTGCGATAGCATTAAATGCCTATTTGAGGTCAGCCGCTGGATGTTATTGACCTATTTTCATTAAAATTGATGTTTAATCCGTTCCAGGAGGCTTGGGGCAACTTGGCGTCGAATGTGCTAAACATCTTCGAAGAAAATATGGCAGAGATAATGTGATACTTTCGGATATCATAAAACCTTCGACGGAAATATTCAACGACGGACCGTACATATTCGCCGACATTTTAGATTTTAAAGGGCTCCAAAAAATCGTTGTGGACCACAGAGTGGAATGGTTGATACATTTTTCAGCCCTACTTAGTGCCATCGGGGAACAAAATGTACCACTAGCCGTGCGAGTTAATATAGAAGGAATGCACAACGTCATCGAACTCGCCAAACAGTATAAGCTTAGAATATTCGTTCCGAGCACCATCGGGGCCTTTGGACCTGATTCACCCAGAAACCCGACGCCCAACATCACAGTGCAAAGACCGAGAACTATTTATGGTGTTTCAAAGGTGCACGCCGAGTTATTAGGGGAATATTACCATTACAAATTCGGCTTAGACTTCCGTTGTCTCAGATTTCCCGGAGTAATCTCCAGTGACCCACCTGGTGGTGGCACTACAGGTATTTTAACTACCTTGGAACTAACTTAGTAAATGTATGATTGTTGATATATAGCAGAAGTTACATGGAAAAATGTGAAAGCCCGCGGTGCGGCGCATAGCAAAGCCAAATCTGTAATATTATAACAACAATATAAGATTACATAGACTAACATACACATCGGTAGTTTGTAAGTTTTAACAAACCGTTTAAGTGAAGCTTAATAGTAGTACAGGAGTAAGTAGTAAGAAAGTAAATTAAACATCCAAATTAATTATTATCGGGTTTTGCATTTTGTATTGTGTGTGTTCTGGTCTTGTTTTTAATTCAGTATTTTAAATTAACAGCAACATTCCTTTCGCTTGCCCTTATATTTTTATGGGTACGCCCTTTAACCGATAATGAGACATATAATGAGGGGTTTTTCAACAAGAGTTTTGCTTTTCAAGTCAAAATCAAATCAAGATTTTGTAAATTTCATTATTAATCTTTTTATTGTATTGGATAGTTTGGCAATTGTAAATGAAATAATTTTGGCAATTATAAACAATCATAAATTAAAAATACTCATCAGATGCTCAACACAATCACGCATACTGATGTCGATAATTTTATCGAACTTTCCCATCACGGTTTGATAACATGGCTGGTCTATTTCGTTAATGACAATGATATGCTCTGTATGGACTAAAGCTTTAACACAGCCCCACAAAAATCCAGTGGTATTATGTTAGTGTACAAGTCGCATGAACGGGGTGGCCAATCATCAACAGAATTTCGTAAAATTATGTTTTCGGTAAATTTGGTTTGCAATAAATTAATTGGTTGGGTTGGTGGCACTGGCACCGTCCTGTTGAAACCATATGCCATTGATGTAATCAATAATAGGCCAAAATTTAGTTCTTACCATTTCTCGATAGTAAAATCCATTCACTGTAACAGCACCGGAATTTTCTAAAAAAAGTGGCCCAAGCACTCCTTCAAACTATAAAGCAGTGACACGTCCAGCATGCAAAGGGTTCTCAACAATTGCTCTTGGATTTTCATTTGCCCAAGTGCAGCAATTTCGCTTGTTGTCGTATCCAGGCAAATGAAAAGGGCTTCGTCTGAAAAAATATTTTTTCCAAACAAACCAGCGGCTTGTTCTTGAGTGAATGCAGTTTTAATTCATACACCAGCTGCACCTTCTAAGGCTTGAGAAAAGCCCAATTGTTGAGAACATCGTTGAATTAACAAATTTGGGTCTAGAACACTGCGGCTCACGGCTGTGACGTTTTCACATAAACCACTCGATCAAACACGCGTTGGTGTTGGCTAATTATGTAGCGACAAGTGAGGATCTAGTGGGAGGGTCATAGGGTCATGACCACCTCCCTCCGTGTATAATAAAGTGACTATTATTATTCTTTTATTACGATTGAAATACTTAAAATTCAATAAATATTAAAAAAAATTAGTTTGTTTTTTGTAGAGTTTAGAATGTGTGGATATTTTTGAAGCTAATTTTAACCTATTAAAAAATTGGCCTACAATTTTTTAAATTATCATAATAAACTACATTTTTCTCTTTACATTACAATACTCTACATGCATTTCTTTTTACATAGGAAGCCAAAACTATTATCGTATTCCAATACCTGTTGGAAAATGAAGTTATTGTTGAAAAACCCTTTACATAGTTACCATATTTTTTTAAAGTTCTATGGACAGTTCATTTCAACAATGTTTCGATGTCTTCATTTAATGGACTAATCTGTAAGTGCAAGATAAAAATCCATATGCTTTTTTACAGATTACGCGATCGCGATATTCCACGACGTACTTCGAAAAGGTCACTACGACTGTTATCTGAAGCCTGACACCAGATTGCCAATGATGCACGTCAGAGACGCCCTGAGGGCTCTTTCCGAATACCTAGAGGCACCAAACGAGATCCTCAACAGAAGAGTCTACAATGTGACTTCGATGAGTTTTACCCCAGAAGAATTAGCCGATGAGATGTTCAAACATATACCCGAATTTACGATTTCGTACAAACCTGACAGCCGACAAAACATTGGTTAGTATTTGACACAAGGCGCTAAAAGACAGTTTTCGCCGGAAACGAGCTGCTGTTCTAGTTTCAGCTGAAACCTAAGCCTAACACTTTCGCATAATTTCGAAACCCTACCGCAACCAGAAGATTAAGTGCGACTTCGTCTCGCCCCATGACAAGACTGGGCAGCGGACTCCCTGAAATCCGGAACCCAAGGAGAACCTTCTGTGGCGGACCTGATATGGGTCTCCACCAGTTCATCACGTTTCGGCCGCAGTAGGTAGGGAGAATGGCGCATGGTTACCACCACTGCTGCATCAGTGGTGCAGCCTCGCAGAGTTGCGGAGGATAAGAAGAGTGGCTAAACGCAATACTAACACTCCTTTTCCCCGCGATTCCAACTCGTACGCAGGGGACAGGGGGAGTGATTCCGCCAACATCTACAACATCTGAGGGGTTATAGATAACTTGTCAATCTTAAAAAAACAATGGGGCTCGATTACCTCACTCCCCAAGACAAAACGCGATAGTACAATTCTTCCTCCTCTCCTTTCTTTTCCCTCTGGTCCTATCCCGGACGATACCACAGTAAATTAAATTTGTTGAAAGTTATATCTTACTTCACACAATTTTTTTTTCCAGCGGATTCATGGCCTCAAGTATTCGATGACACTGAAGCGCAGCGTGATTGGAATTGGAAGCCAGAAGTTAATTTAGACAGTCTGGTGAAACTAATGCTTAAGGAAGTTAAAGAGAAAATTATCTCTAATGGATGTTGAAATCCTGTACTCTAGAATTATTTCACTATAACGCACGTGTAAAAATAATTTAAAGACTACTATAAAGTGTGCATCTTTAAATTTGACGACCCGAATGGCGTTGTGGGTAGTTTACCTGCCTCCTGCGCCAGAGGGTGTGGGTTCGATCCCCGCTACTGGATAAATATTGTGTGATGAACATAGTATTTTTCTAGTGTCTGGGTGTTAATATATGTATGTATAATATGTATTTATTTTACAAAAGAAAAGTATGTTTAAGTATGTTTATCAGTTTTCTAGTACCCATAGTACAAGCTTTGCTTAGTTTGGGACTAGAGAATGTTGTGTGTCCTAAAATATTTATTATTATTATTATTATTATTATTAAAGGAATTTTGACGTAAATAAGAAATAAAATTTCAGAAATAAAACGTAATAATTACGTTTATAAAAAGTATCGTTTTGTAAAGTTGTTATAAATATGAATATTACAAATTTACTAAGATTTTGAAAACGATATTCATAATATTACACGGTGATCTTATGGATCTCAAGAAACAGGAAACTTAAGATGAACGACACATTTACTTTCTATAGTAACTAGATGGTCAATTCACTCAATGATTGGAAATGAGTTCAAAGTTTTTCAAAGCTAGCCTGCTAAAAAAAACTTCGTTTTATTAATAATATTTATTATAAATATTATTTCTTCTGTTTACGCAAATACTCTTAATTATACTACCTACAGAGTTTGTTCCATGACCATGGACACATACCTATAATATACAGGCCTAAGTAAAGTGTTCGAAACGTAGACAGTTTAATTCGAAAAAATCCGTAGTTTCAATTACCGACAGCATTTTTAGAGGTCCTTACTAGTTTATCATCTGGACTCTAATCCTAGTAGATAAAAGAAGATATCAGACCACTTTTTAAGTGCTAGACAGACAAAAATAATCTTTCTGTGTTTATTAAATCATATTAATTAATTGCCTATTGTACAACAAATTTTTTAAAAAAGGAATTGTGTTTGTTAATTAAGATAAATATTTTTGAAGTTATACTTTTTTGGCAAAAAGTTTTTAAGTTTGGAAAAAAATATGAGAGTATAATTTAAAAGATGCGCGCGCGCGCACATCTATAATTAGTCATGATGAAGTTGGTTCATCTTCTTCACGGTATTACCACGGCAACCAATAACAACTTTTTGACATTAACCTATAATTCCAAGTTATCTAATTAAACCGTACAAAGAGTACTGGCACAGTAGATAAAATTTTTAGTTTGTTATGTTAATGAAGTATAACTTCTTACGTGCGTACGTAAGAACGCACATTCTTTTTATGTTTCTTATTCCCTTGAATAAATAAAAAAGTTGGCTACATTTGAGAAACCTGATAGATTATACTAAAGGGCGCCGAGTGGTAGAAATTAGACCATAATTAAATTAAATTCAATTTTGAACAATAATAATCAATTCTCAAAAACAATACACAATAAACAAATTGAGTATATATGCGTGTGTGTGTCAAATACATGGGGTAGTGTATGTTATGTTTTCCTTATTGATTTAATGTATTTTTTATGCATAATATAAAAAAATATTAGCATTCTGCACTCATTTCATATTTCTCTGTCCGTGCAATTAAAAAAGTGTACAAAGTTTTTGCTTCACGTATAAATATACAGGGAGGCTTTTCTAAGTGTATCCATTTTTTATTAAATTCTAGACATGAATAACGTTATATAAAAAATTATAAATATTCCAAATCACTCGTAAGTAATTGCGTGATTTTACGCAACTCATTTATTATGAATTAATACGGGCACCGCTCAAAAAACGATTATACTACCGAGTATGAACCTCCTGTGTAAATTTGGGCACCTCTCAAAAAACTTCCGTTTATAGATAATATTAGCGGACCGGACAGACGCTGTCCTGTACACACGTCTTAAATTCGAAAATTTCGAACTTTTTTGAATAACTTTAGGAATCTAAACCATTTTCGAATCGGCCTGAAGACACAAAATTTCTTTAAAATCGGTCCAGCCGTTTTGGAGGAGTTCAGTGACATTCACACGTACAGAAGAATTATATATATATATATATATATATATATATAGGTTAATGTCTAGATACTGTGTGGCCACATTAAAGTTGTTATTTTAATGGCACAACATTTACGAGTATATTCTTGTTGCATTAAGGCAGTTTTACTTGCATCGGCTGTGTGTGCGTGTGTGGTGATACGAAACTATAACAATTTGCCATAAAATACGACCGTTTTCCACCCCAAAGGGAAGAAAACGATTATTTCAGGTCTTGCCGAGGCTTGACTTTCGGAGATTACTTACCCTTCCTAAACACGCACACATATGCTAGCTACTTACTATGATCTGTCTCTGAATGGATTCAAGGCCCCCGCGAAGGGTGCGCGGGGAGAGGCGGCGGCAGGCGCGGGTTACGTCACCGCGCTCTCGTCAGTACCTGTCTCCGAATAGCCGGCAAGGGTTTGCTCAGGTCAAGCCTCGGCAAGACCTGAAATAATCGTTTTCTTCCCTTTGGGGTGGAAAACGGTCGTATTTCAGTGTTTGCCTCGGCTTGACCTTTCGGAGAAGTGTTTATAATCTGCCGGCGCTCCAAAGCGTACTGTGACTGGTGACTGAAATAAGTCCTTGTAAGGTCGTAATGGGCATAAAGAAAATATTAAGTTCATTTTAAAGAATAAAACTTTATAATCTAAGTATTTTCATACTTAAAGATTTTAATTATTAGAGTAGGTACTCGTTAAAACTAAAATCACATTTATTAGGCTAGCTAATTAAACTTTAATCAGACTTGAAAACGACTCGATAGCGTTATTAATAATGATTTAATGTAAACTATTCCAGGACGTGTACCATAAAAATATTCATCACTAACAGTTTATAAATGCTTTAGCTAGTGTTCACTCAACAGCCTTAAAGGAACTATTTAAAACATTAGCGTTGGGGTCCTGCTTACGTTCTACTGATTTGCAGTAATGCTTAAAGACGTGTCGTGAGCCTCTCCAGTTTTCCGTTGCAGAATCATGTCTAACGGGACATTAAATTGGAAATCATTCGAAGCTACTGCTGATCTTATGGACCCGGGACCGCAGTCTATGCCTGCTTAGTTCTTTAAAAGTTGCCTTGAGCCATCCAGCAATCACGAACCTTGACGCTGCGTTTACTTCACCTCGTGTCGTGATAAACAGATTGAATAGATCCTTTCGCACTCATCGCCTATTGGCTGCTAACTCGATTAAGCGATAACCCAGCTAGTCCAGCTAATCACTGGATCTTCAGAATAAATTAGGTGCCATCCAGATGGGCGATACTTGGTATTGTCCGTTTTGGACTCAAACCTGGGCCAAAAGGTTATGGAGGAATCGGCTCTTTCACAATGGTGTTCGTCAATATCTAGAATAGTTTAATCGTGAATACAGCGTCCTGAAGCTATCAGAAGTAAAAATAAAAGGAGTCTAGATACTTGAAAAATATTATCGTCAGCCGGGACATACGATCGTAACCACTGAAGGAGATCTTGAACGTTCCATATCTATGATTTTGACTTCGCAAAGAAGCATTTCTTTACACTAATCGCCTTTAAAAGGGTTGTTATCAAAGGGTGACTGGCAAGTCGTTTCTCTTGAGTAGGAACAGAAAGATTTAGAATTACTGATTTGAACTAGAATTGTAGGGTATACCTACCAAATATTTAGCTCGAGTTAATAACCCAAGTAAGCGGCGACGTTTTGAGGTTTAGGATTGTTGGGTTCTTTTTCCCTTTCCTTGTACCAAGATACCCACTGCTTCCATGCGGAACTGTAAGTGCGCCAAGTGGAATCTCTCCACGCTGATTGCAGATGCTTAACGTTATCTGGATCTAGGCCAACGACTAGTTCACTCCGCCAGACGTCTAGCAGATCTTCCACTTGTGAAGATGGGCGGTTGACAGACAGATCTATCAGACACTTTCAAATTACGAATTTGAGAAGGAGCCCCCAGAGCCCGTCGCTTCAAGTCGTTTCTCCAGATCACTGATTCCCATCGAGGAACTACTACAAGAAAAGTCCCCGACGACTTTGTTGAGATGACGAAGCACCCTGGGGATCAGGGGCGGCAGTGGAAAAACCCGAGCAAGATTGTATTGCCAATCTCGGCTGAAAATGATTGCCTCTATTGACGCATAAGCTGGAACAACCGTTGACTGACTCGTGGCGAAAAACTCCACTTGAGGGGTACCCCATTTCTTGAAAAGCTTTTTCACAACATTCCCCTTGAGGTGCCAATTTGGAAGCCCGTTTCCGCACGATAGGCAATCGGCTATTATATAGTAGCGATCAGGCAGATAGAAAGCATGAAGCGTCACGTCTACACTGTCGGCTAACTTCAAGTTGTTGCTTCTAGAAGAACGATTGACCGTGTTCCTCGCTGATTTCTCAGGTAAGAGATTACCGTCCTGTTGTCGGATTGCACCATCACTGAACAACATCGAATCGCTTCTTGAAACTGCGACAGAGAGCTACAAGCACCGAAGAGAGCTCTTTCCTGTTTATGTGCCAACTCAACTGGTTCTCTGACCACTGACCCGATAGAGAGTGATATCCAAGTTGAACACTCCAGTATGGGTTTGACGCATTTGTACTTATGAGCACGTCAGTTCCGGAATTAAGATTTTGTCCGGAGTATTGATATGCTTGATCGGTGGATCTGGCAATCTGCATGTGCTGATGAGGGAACTCCAAATTTCTTCTTGGGGTGCTCGTCGGAGAGTGGCCCTCTGAATCTGCCTGGTGTTAAGACTACCCAAGGGAGTTGCCAAGGCTGCGAAACATAGTCTTCCTAATAGGGCTGTGCCTGACTTCCAAGACCATCGACCGGTTTTGTGAATATTTTCTAGGTTCCTCACTAATCGCGCTTTTTGCGTCTGGCAAATTCATCGGGTTTGTCGCTGCGTCCCACACGATACCGAAGAATTCTATCTGCCTCTTTGGCTTTATAACTGATTTTTTTTAAGTTTACGCACCAGCCTATATGCTGAAGAAACTTTACAGCCAGCCTTAACTGATCTTCTAGAACAGCAGGATCCTGATGGGCAAAGAGAAAGTCGTCCAAATATACTTGAACTCTTAATCCCTGTCTTCTCAAAACTCTTGTGAGCCATTTGGTAACGAGAGAAAAAGCCAATAGCGCGCTGGACAGGCTAAACGGTAGAGATGTCATCTCGAATGGATCCCCCTCGTAAAGGAGAGACAGATACCTTCGATGGCTCTTTCTCATCGGTATATGAAAGTAGGCCTTACTGATGTGTAATTTCCCTAAGCAGTCGCCCTCTTGTAGAATATTGGGAACCTGCATTTGATTTATCAAGCGGAACTTTGGCGGATTGAGAAATGCGTTCAGACGACGGATATCGAAGATCTATCAGAGCTTTCCGTTTGACTTTGGTATGAGAAACATCCGCTACAGTAAACCGGTAGAGGCTTATGAGATCTCTCTACAACACCTGATCTTAGAAGTTCTTATAAATCGTTGGTCATCGCTTCTGACTTTTTTGTTGCGAACCGAGATTTCCCGCATAGAGGAATGGAGGGCTGCTTGGTTACAAAAGGAATTGCGTAACCTGAAATTATCTTTAGGACTGCTCTTGGAGCTTGTAAGTTCTCCCATTGTAATGTATAACCCCTAGCTGCCCTCCCCGAAAACCGTCAATATCTGCGATTGGCCTGTGACCGTCCTTTATTTCTACACTGTTTCCCTATTTGTTTGGATAGGCTGGAACGGAAGGCAGACGTACTGGACGAGGGCTTGCATGACGCCATAGACCGTGCATTCCAGGGATTTCGTTTACCCTTAGCCTGTGTTGGAGCTTGCGTTGGTTTTCGAAAACCGCCCCTTGGAAATGAACCTTTATCTGGACATTTCTCTCTGGTATGAAAAATACGACTTACTCCCCCATTACAAATCTTCACAAATGCTGGGAACTTTTTCTCATAGAAAGGGTGAGACACCAAGGGGGAAATCTGTTACAATGCCGCAACTAACCCTCTATTACGGGGCTTGAAGGCTCTTCGTCTAAACTCAAAAGTTTCTGCTCGATGAGCACACACGTATTGAATTATGTTATCGGATAATTTCCGTAACTGGGAGTCCTTTCCAAGAACACATCACATTTGTTCTGCGGCCCCCGGACATCTTTTGGAAATCTCTTTGAAATTCTCAGCCAGAGAATGGCCTCTGCATGAGAAGTCCACGGACAATAGTACCTAGCAATCCGTCTTGCTTTAAAAGCCGAGCTGATGGCAGCGCAATTGAGCTCAACTCTATATTCAGTTTTAGTGTGCTAAAGAACTGGTGCCGCTAGAAGGAGCTTGTCCACTTCTTTGTAACGGATTCGGTTCCACCGAGGGGTATATATGGAGGAATGCCCCAACCGCTGACACTCGATGCCTTTCCTCTTTATCTGTGTGGTGGTATCTGGGATCAGTGGATCCGCTTGTTTTACCTATGGTAGGAAATCAAATTCTGATGGAGAAAGTGGTTTCTCCTCCGGTATAAGAGAAGATATTTCTTCCTAGTGACTGATTGGGGTCCTCCACGAAGAACAGACGTCAGAGCCTTCCGAATTAATGTCCCCAGAGCCTAAGCAATCATCATCGGAATCTAACTCAGGGTGCGTACGATTTTCTGAAGGCTGAACCGCTTCGATCTTTGCCATGAGGATGGTGTACATATTATCCATCTTCCTCTCTAACGCATCATGCCTGGACATTAAAGGAGACCTCTTTCTACGCTTCTTTCTGGCTCTACTGCTCATTAAGACACTCCACCGCTTACGACAAGTTCCTTCAGACTGAGAAAGATTGCCCGCCAGTATCCTGTCCGCTTCAACTCGTGTATGTAGAAGTGTTGAATAGCTTCAACAGACTTCTTAACGAGCTCAGTGCGTACTGCTGAGGCTCGGATGCGGTTTGCCACGGCTGCCGGACCTAGAATGAGGGCCTGAGTGAACGCCCAATCTAACAGTTTGCACTTTATATCCCTTCTCCGTTAGACGATCCGCCTCTGGTATGAAAGCCCAGACTAAGCCAACAGTAGGCAAGGCAAATATGAGCTTGTTTAACACATTTGGTTCGAGCTTTTCTCCAGAAACTTCTTCTCTCGTGGCGGTGGAAACCTCCCAGCGAGTCCAACGGGTGGTTGGAAGATGCTCTTGTACCAAAACTTTTACACGCTCCAACAACTTTTTCATCTTGCTCCGTCTCTGCGTGCTCATCCAAAAGCTCGCCTACGGTGACAATACCTATCTGTTGAGCGATCTGATGCCAAAACAGAGGCCGTAGTCAAATAATCAAGCAGAAAAGAAAAGCTCAAACAAATCGTAAGACTTTTGTTTTGAAGTCCAAGAATTGAACAAAGGCTCAACAAATTGAGGCACGCTGCTCAAGATACGCGCCGCGCCGCCCGCTTTTTGAGCCGCGCCGCCCGATCTTTAAGCCGCGCCGGCCGATTTTTGAGCCGCGCCGGCCGATTTTTGAGCCGTGCCGCCCGCTTTTTGAGCCGCGCCGGCCGATTTTTGAGCCGCGCCGCCCGCTTCTTGAGCCGCGCCGCCCGATTTTTGAGCCGCACCGCTTAATTTTTGAGGGGCGCCGTCAAATATTCGAGGCGCCCCGCTCCAAATTTGAGACGCGTGCTGTTAACCTTTCGGGTATCCATCAGTAAGACAGTGGCTGATTGGCCGACATGTCGAAAAATTGCAGCCACAGTTTTGTGGGCTGAAATGTAGTATTCAGTACGTATATTGTGGATGGCATGTCCGACAAATACGAAAAATACTTAACACAACGTTTGTGGATGATGTGTCCGACAAACATGACACGTAACACTGGTAAATCTATAAAGCATGTAGCCAAAGCTAAGAATCTTCTTTTACAGGCGAATCCGCACCTTAAACAGAAAAATACATACAAACTGAGACAAAATGAAATTGCTTACACTATATCCAATGAGTAACGTTACAGCAACGTTGAAACACTTTGAACAATAATAACTTATATTCATATTAAGGAATTAAGCAAAAGCAAATAGCATACGTGCGCACGCTAGGAAAACATAAGCGTACTGACGAGAGCGCGGTGACGTAACCCGCGCCTGCCGCTGCCTCTCCCCGCGCACCCTTCGTGGGGGCCTTGAATCCATTCCGAGACAGATCGTAGTAAGTAGCTAGCATATGTGTGCGTGTTTAGGAAGGGTAAGTAATCTCCGAAAGGTCAAGCCGAGGCAAACACTGAAATGGGTAAATTTTTGTGTGCATCTGTTCGTTATGTTTACATTATGTTGAATAGCATGTGTATATAATAATCTTTGGCATATTATACTAGTGATATTTATGATATTAAAATTATAAGTAGACAATAAAATGAGTTATTTTTTTATTGATTTAATTTATAAATACATAATTTGGTAGTATTAACAATTTTTGAAATGAGTTTTTATTTCACATTATGAATTATTATAAATTACGGACGATGTTGAGAAATGTAAATCATACATGTAAGATGATTAACACTAACAAAAATGGTACCTTTTATATTGTTGTAAGAAATATTTTTATTTAATTGATTTTTTATGCTTTATTCAGAAGTAATCACAATTATTAGTGATGGAATGCCATCTTCTTTATCTCTTCTTTTTTTAGTAGGTTTTTGCAAGTTGTTTTGTACAGTATCATAATAAATTTATCGAGAGACAGAAAAAAGTTTATTTTATGGCGCGCTGAACGTACTGACCATAGATTATACACTTATAACTGAGATTATACACTTATGTACTGACGGCGCAGTACGCAGTGATTTAATTCAGTTCATCATTAGGGGTTTCAAGTATTATATTAATTTTTTTTTAATACAACTCTTGAAACTTTTAATTATTTGAAAAATTTTAATTTAATACAATTTTTGTAGTTTCATATCTATATTATTGTAGTTTCATTAAAATCCATTCAGTAGTATTTGCGTGAAAGAGTATCAAACATCCATCCATACATACAAACTTGCGCCTTTATATTAGTAAGGATAATAACAATGGCTGGGGTGTACTGTTGTTGTAGCATAAAAATCAAACAATGATATGAAAACTGACATTTGGGAACGGTATTTACCGTTGCTGTGCATGAAGCAACCGTCGCACAGTTTGCCAAATAAATCTCTACGACAAATAGGGTTCCGAAATTCTTTTTCGAAATTCTTAAAACGTAAGAATCGAAAGAAAAAGAAACCTTTACCTTTTGGGTACGGAACCCTAAAAAAATCAATACTTTTACTTATTTAATAAGTTTCACTGAAACAATTAAGGCTCAAGCAGAGATGAGTGGATTTAAAAATGCGGGACCGCCTTTGGCGCAAGGCCCGTAACAATTCCTACACTTGCTACGTGGTTAATCCGGCACTGCGATTAGCAATGATGCTTCCTTCACAAGACTGTCGAAAAAAACTATTAGAACTATTTAAAGAATTATTGTCTATTGGAATAAATAAAAATAAGGATGTTGAAGGTTTTATAATGTCTAAAGTAAAGTATCAGCCTATACATGTCCCACAGCTGGGCAAAGGCCTCCTGTGTACATAGGGTATCAGGGCATAGTCCACCACGCGGCCCCACTGCGGATTGGCGGACTTCAATTATATTTTTTTTTGTTATTATTACGAAAATATGCAGGTTTCCTCACGATGTCTTCCTTCACCGCTGAACACGTGATAATTCAGCACTTGAAATTAACAATTTCATTGGTGTCGGCACCGGGGATCGAACTCAGGTTGGTCTTGTCTATGTTAATATATAACTCTAAATTAAACAAAGCTTTATTTAAACAATTTATTTATTGAAGCATTTATAGAACATTTCTTACATATCTTATGTTTACAAATTAAGTAAGCGACAATGGCATTAGTAAATACACAGCATCTTTAGAAATAAATATTCAAGTTAAAAGTCGTACATGTAACTCAACATTGAATAACATAATTTGAAAACAATTAAATCATTATCTGATATCACAAACAAAAAAAATACCACTGAATAAAAGATGCAATTTTAAAATATATACACGCTGTATGTGTAATACACGTGTGATCATTAAGGTTATCACATCATTAAAATCATATTTTTATAAATTCAACGTCCACAATTACGTGATCAATTTGATATGAAAAATATACATTGTGATGTTTAAAAAATATATATCTTAGCTTGCAGTAGCCAATAAAAAAAACTTAAAATGTACAACAGCACTTATTTACCGTAAAATTACAACATCAGAGAATATGACAAACATTTAACATAATTAAAAAAAGAGAAGAAACTAAGTGGTAAAGACTTTACAGGACGATCCATCGACTCTGGCTCCGTGACGTCATCCTAAATTCTGGCCTGAGCTGAGTAGGACTACAACGAAATAAAAGTTTTCAAACGAACCGTACAATATTGAAAAATTTATAGGACAAACATAATAGCAATACTATTATATTTATTCTATAGAACTCGTTAATGAGAGAGAGATGAAATTAACTTTTTATTCATAATGGAAACAAAATCAACCGCAACGGTGGTGTCGTAAGATACAACTATTTAAAAAAAAGTGTGTACTTATGTACGTACGTAAGAAGTATCTTGTATCTCGTATTAACTGATGTTTGTGCTTTCAGTCCCGAGACTATTAAAGCTTCATCTGACGCAGAACCGGTGGGCTAGCCAGAACCCACGGGTTTGGGTCGTAAGAAGTTATACTTCTTTAGTGTAACAAAAGAAAAATAAGTAAAAGTTTCATCCCGTGTGCGTGTGGGTACTCTTTGTTTGTGAATAAAATATATTAAATGCAATTGATAACGGTTTAATTAAATAACTTGGTAATGTCAAATTAAAGTTGTTATCCATAGTAAGACCATGAAGTTGGTGTCGCTTTTATAAAGAAAGAAAGAAATGAAGCACATTTATTTTAAGGTGTCCGCGCATCGTAAAAATTCATTCTCATAATTTTACCCAAACGCGGCAAAAGAAGTATAACTTCAAAAATTCACTTATTATATGAAGCTTTAAATGTTTCATTTTATTTTCTGAACCTGCTATATCTATCCGTTACTAAAAACACTATCGGTCGAGCTGAACTGAAATGCGTCTGCGGATATTTTCAAAAAAAACGGAATAACGTTTAATGTAACTTTACACGCAGTGCAAGCAAGACGTAAAGCGATACGGACTGCGGCGCGAGCGAGATAACAATACTCTCTTACAGCTGGCTTGCAGTCCCTTCGAAATGTATAAGCTGACTCTTCGGAGGCGCATTTCAGTTTTGAACATCTCTATTTAGGAAACCAACAAACGTTCAATTGTTAGACACAGTAATCAGTCTTCAACGGCAATGCGAGTCCACATTTTTACTCATTCACTAAAAGCTAAGGACGTTTCGTTGGTACGGCTAAAGATTTACTTTACAGTAATTTTAATTGAAAAACCCATCACGTGTAAATGACCTCGAATCTTATACGCGTAAACGATTTTCAGAACACGGTACATAACATGAATGTTGTCAACTGTTGTAAAAAAATATTTCTATAAATATGTGAACTAAAAGTGTTTTCTTTGATTGGCGACATTTTTATACATGCTTAATTTTTAGGTATTATAACATACATAAAAAAATCCAACATTTTCTGACTCAACTTTTTTTTTATTTTCCGCACGATGACGTCTTTATGAGGGGCACAAATGTGAGCCACGCGATTGTTGCGGTTGAGGAATCAAGGTATTGGATGCAAGGCACGGATGCCAACTTAGGAATTTTCTTCCTAAATTTAGGAAGATAAAATTTACAATGGAAATTTTTTAGGAGGTAAATTCAAAGCAAAACTTCCTAAATTTTTCTCATTAGAATCTTTGTGGGTTTTTGAATCGCTTTAGGAGTATTTTAACAGTTAGTAACACTGTTACAAGGCTGGAAATACGATCACAAGACTACTTCCTAACCACTAGACTACCAATGCCACCCTTGTTATTATTACAGATAACAATAGTTTTATCAGGGTTTCCTTTTAGAAACAAGTTTTAAAAAATATGATTTTAATAGCACACTGTAATATTTTTAATTTAAACGAAAACGGCAAGTGACCTTTGACAACCCTGAAATTTTAAATTGGCTTGACGTATAATTTTAATAACTTACACAAATAACTTCATTAACTTCATGCACAAGCGACTTTAATTTTAAAATTTAAGGAAAGCAAACACTATAACTTCAACTTGTGCGGTGCGCCAAAAAATAAAGTGCCACAAAAAAAATATGCTAATATAGATTACATCAAATTATCAATTAGGCAAGTCCTAATTAAGATCTTACGCTATATTATTGCACCATTATTTATTATGTAGATATAATTGTAACACGCCACACTTATATAAACACCTGTTATCACAAAACATCGCAAATCCTGTAGAAAGGACGCGTATCAGCAAATGGCACTCACATTGTCGCGGGAAAATTATCAAACCAATAACGAGGTGAAAACCTAACCATACAATCTAACACTAACATTACGACTCATCAATGCACATCACTAGCGAAATAACTAAGATTTATTACGATATTACATAAAAAGCTAATTTAGTTCGATAACATAAAACTACTTCCCTGCCAACCACGATTCAAAATATACAATGCCGAATTTAATAGAAATCATCACAGAGTTTCATAACATAATCACGGTAAGCAGTAAACATAATATTATGTTCGCATCACTAGTAGGTATGCTATACAGGCTGTTAACAAAAAAATATTAATTTTTTCGTCAAACTATAATCTTAAGTACGCAATTACAGGGCTTTCTTTTTAACGAAAGCTTATTAGATGAGCATATTATCCAAATAATTGTTAACATTTCTTTCGAAAAATTGATAACTAATTTTGATATGGCTTGGAAAATATATGAAAAAAAGAAAAAAAAGAAGGGAAATTCTACTTGTACATTCCTAAACATAAGAAGGGGGGCATCGCACGAAGTGGAGAATAATGCATTAGGCTCCGAATTAAACGTGTGTATTAATACTACAATGACAGTTTCAATAAGGACTACTATATTGTCATATTAAGATAATATAATGTATAATCAACAACTTCACATAATATTAATAACGCAGTAAACGCTCAATAAATCGCTATACTCAAAAACATTGTCGTCATTTGTACTTTAACAGTTATCTTGAATTCTTACTTTTCTGTACAAAACTATTTACGTTATCGTAATTATCTATGGCAATGAAATGACCCTTTCGTTGCGTGGAGTAAAGATAATTATTATTGAATAATCCACTTTCTTATAGGTATATTAGTGAAACAAAACGTATAACATTTTAAAATCCCAATGAAAAGAGTCATCATCACTAATTATTAAACTCAATTTCAAGAAAAGACTGTTATCACATATCTGGCATATTTACTCAGTACATTGGGCCCAACCTCTTAGATATTACACTTAAAAACAATAAACTCGAAATTGTACTGACCCATGAACAAAGCAGTTATAAGCGTTTAGAATTTTGTATTTCTCTCAAAGTGTTTCTAGCGACAGACAGTCTACGATGCGATTTTGTTTGTTGCAACACGCTGTAGCTCAGCGAAACCGGTTTGCTTGCATGCCAAGGTTGTGTTCTTTTGGCCTTCTTAAAGTGAACTTTGCATTTTTAACATCCAAAGACCTTATGATGACCGTTAAACAATCTTCTAATTGAATGTATACATATCGCACGGATTAATATTTTTGCAGTGATAATAAAAGATGTCATAATTCAATAATGGCAGACAATTAAATTGATTTTAATTGTTAACAAAATGAGGAAGATAAGAAATTAATCAGGCGTTTGGCTTTAGTAAATTGTTTTCGCTTTGTTTTTTCGGAATCCGGTGTACAAAGTCGAGTAATGTTTATGATTAATGTTATACGAGTAATTTAAATACAATTATTGTTCTACAAAGACTTTTTGACTTTATCAGCAGCATAAAAACAAACAGAAAAGAAAAAAAAATAGAGGTTAGGAATAGATACATTTATTACGATTTGTGAAGAGTAAAAATACAGATTGGTTGAAAACAAAGAAACTTTTGCAATGTTAATTTAATTAGCACATGGACATTCCTACTGCTGGAAAATTTATTTTGTACGGGGCATTGTACATTTCACTTTAGACATTACTAACTTAAAAAGGGCCGCTAGTGTCAAATATAATATTAATGTGACACACAAAGTCATACACAACAAAATATAATTACGATTAACATCTAACCCGAATGCCAGACGAAGACCGTCACATAGAACGCTCGTTTTATGTATACAGTTTTTGTACACAATGATCACTTGTCACGCAGCGGTAGTCTGTCTGAAGTTTAAAAATTTCTATGGCGCCCTTAGGCAAGTATCACACAAAAACGCGTGTCGTCAACGCTAGTAAACTACCCTAACTAATGAGTGACTAATTTCAACTAGTTACGACAATCGCTGTTAAACGGAAATTTCTAAAGGCGGTCCCGCAGTAGGCCGGTTTGACGATTATCACATTTTGTGAACGAGGCGTTCGTTGTTTTAACGTTAACGTACGTTACTCGGTCTTCATCATGCGCTGCTGCTGTTCCCGGTTCATGTTCAGCTCTTTCAGGCGCTGCCGCAGCTGTGCCTTCTTCAAGTTGGTCATTATCTGCGTCGACTGGTACAGCCAGGAGCCCTGGAAGGTGACAATGAAACTGAACTTAGCAATTTCACCGTATTGCAATTATAACCGCAAAAACAGCCGGTTTAAATATTCAATCTTCAGATAGATTTGGTCACTAGCGATAGGTATTTGATACATTAGCTCAATACTCATGTCAAAGTTCTACCTCTAGTAACAAAATCTCTCTGTAGATTGGTTATTGTCGGCCGTAAGGGAAACGTTCGGAGGGATATATACGGTTTCATTGCAATAGTGCCACCAAGCAGCTACAGTCAAAATTATGAACCGTCTACTCTTTTGTTTGGACTAAGAATACCTTCCATTCACTTAAGACTATCTTCCGTTATCTTAACATGAAAATTTACTTGTTTAACGACTCGGTTATATCAGTTGGTACCTACACTACAAGTCGCTGCGGCTCGTCGGTTCGATTCTCAGACGGGACAAATACTTGCTTGATCCACAAATGAACATTCCAAATCTGGGCGTTAATCCGAAAATAAATAAAGAATAAAAAAATATTTGCGTTACCTACGTGAAATGTGCATTTTTAAAACGCCCTCATAACGCACGATATTATTATTACCGTAAAGTAAGGATAACGTGTTTTTCGCACAAGTTATTATAAATATTAAAAATTATAACTTAGCAAATTAAATATTTTAAAATATTGAGAGTTTTTGTCTGAATGACTTGTGAGTTGTCCTAACAACCAAAGTAATAATTATTCTACGGCTTCTTGCTTACATTATACAAATGAATAATACGTTTTGAATGTATAACCTATACACTATTATAAATTTAAATTAAGACTTTTGACAAGCATTGACCTTACGACTTATTTAAAGAACATCATATATTTTATATATATTGTTTTAATTATATATTTTACATTTCATTTACGATATATTTAATATATATGTTAACGCTACATTACTTGATTACGTCAATGTTTGGTTAAAATGTAATCATAGATCTTATTAAAACATGAAACAAAAAAACCTCATATGTTTGTGAAATATTTAATACTCGGTTCTATAAATATTTTCTTAGCTGTAATAACGGAAACGTGTCGGTAGCCTTTAAATCAATAACAAGTAATGCGCTACTGTATGCGCCTACAATGTAGTCTGCTTTCAAGGTTAATGAAGTAATTTTTGGGTAGTTTTTATAAAGAGCCACGCATGGACAACATCAACTTTTTTGGGCTTGTTGTGACATTGGCACCACAGTTTTGGGCTGCGTTTACCTCGCTGACTATACGGAACGCAACAGTACAAAACACGTCATCTTTTTAGCTTTTACCAGCATTTTTATCTTTACTGGTCAGTGAAGGGCCTGGCCCAACAGCACGTCTGCTTTAGTTATTTTAGTTCCATCCTTGAATAATTTGAAAAAAATTTAAATTGTTTATTAACGAAAACATCTTTTTTTATTCGCACAAAGCCAAATTTCATTTCGGTGTCAAACTTAGTACAATACTGGATGTAGAATAGTGATCAACCGTAAAATAACATAAATATAGTCCAAAACGAATCGAACCAACATTTCAGATGCTAGTCGTTTGAGAGCTTAACCTGTTCGCGCTGTTCCAAAAATAGATCCAGGGTGTGCGATGCTATAAATCGAAAATCCCTATATTAATCAAAAGTAAAAACCTCGATTTACTTCTCCACGGTGATGTTATTATTGTACAGTTGTAACAAAAGTATTTTTGTGAATAACTCCTTTCCAAACTCATTTCACGATTTACCCATTGACTTTTAAATTTACGAGACAGAACAAGATTAATTAATTGTAACCTAAATTTATATTTAAACACAGATTGTAGTATCATGTAAGATAACACTACGAAACACGCGATTCGCAGCGCTTACGAGTGCAATAGTGATTTATCAAAATCAAATTATTCACAGCAATAAGAAGCGATAAAAATATAATATTTATACGACAATAACAATTTTTGTATTGCAAAACCATAATTTGTCATAAATTTCACATGACCAAGACTATTATTCGTCAACATAAAATATGTATGCTTAAAGAACGAAGCATCGTTGTTATCATTTTAGCCCGTCTTGTATCTTGTATTAACTGATGTTTTTGCTTTCAGTCCCGAGAGTATTAAAAGCTTCATCGGACGCAGAACCGGTGGGCTAGCCAGAACCCACGGGTTTGGGTGCCCGTTTAAATCCACTGCTGAATATACTTCGCCCAGAGCACGAGGCACGATTCTGACCCACCTGCATCCACCAATTTCCGCACAGATTTTTTGCGTTACTTCCATCTTATGAGAATCAAAGTGTAGAGCGATCGCCCTACATTTCAATGGCCAATACGTAGTTACCACTCGAGAACGCTTAGTGATGATAAAAACATACACTTTCATGCAACACTTTATGGCGACAGTTCAAAGAATGAATGTTTTTTTTTGTTTTTGCCTTCAGTCCCGAGACTATTAAAGCTTCATCTGACGCAGAAACGTTGGGCTAGGCAGAACCCACGGGTTTGGGGCCTCCGTTGTGGGTAGGGCCATCGAGGTTGTGGTGCGGACCGAGACCCCGATGGCCGTCGACTGTGTTTTTAGCAGAATGAATGCATGTTTAATTGAAATAAATACAGAAATCTCAAAGAATACTAAAATTTAATAGACGTCAACGATTTTGAGGATGGGTACTGGTACAATAAATAATACTTCAAAGGCTGATCGCTTTGTAAATCTATCCCAGAATATGAATGTGTCAAAACTTATAATACCGAAATTTTAAAAATGTTAATAAATTGATATAATTATGTAAAAAGGTCAAATCAGGACACGACAATGATAATGCGGGCAATAACAAGTTTATATATGAAGGCCTAGCAGATGGCTGGAATCACATTAAATAAGGTCTAATTACGGCTGATGTGAGAAAAATCTGTCACTTATGGTCTTCCGTTTCCCTCGTTTTCGAGGAACCAGAAACACGCTCCGTCTCTCTGGTAAACATGAGTAAAGCATTTGTAAGGCTCATAAAACAAAACACTTGACTAATGATAAACGCCCGTATATGCATGTAACAGTCAAGTAATCCTCTAAAACTTATAGACTCAACTCATAACCTAGATATACAATAGCCACCTCGTTATCGCTAGGAGCCGTGATAGCCCAGTGTCCGGGCGCTCGCCTTTAATTCAATATACTCGAGCAACCTGAGTTCGATCCCCGGTGCCGGCACCAATGAAGTTTTTAACTTTAAGTGCTGACTTATCACGTGCTCCGCGGTGAGGAAACCTGCATATTTTCGAAATAATAACAAAAAAAAATATATTTCGAAGATATGTGAAGTCCGCCAATCCGCATTGGGGCCGCATGGTGGACTATGCCCTGATACCCTCTGTATAGAGGAGGCCTTTGCCCAGCAGTGGGACATGTATGGGCTGTTACTTTACTTTTTTTATCGCTAACGGACAGTAGTAATAGGTATTATTTTCCCCACTCAAATCAATCCTCTTAAAGGCGCATTCTTTTTTATCTGTGTAATAAAACAATACGGTGAGAAGACAAGTCAGTGTATAGTGACGTTACAGGCTAAATGCGACTGTTCATGGTCAAGAAACGAAAGCTCATACCACGATCCGAATACAAACTCAAACCGGTGCGATAGATCCAATAATGGTCACAGTTGATCAGTGATACGTTATGAAAATTTCACCGAATTTATAAATTCGCAAAATTTCCAATCAAAGGAGAGCTATCACTTACGACTTCCGACGTATGCCGAGTGCGATTTTAATGCGATTTTGGTTCAAGGGCTTCTAATCCAGTTGATATAGTACTTAATAATGTACACGACGTATGTGTATAATCAATGTTTTTAATTCCCATTTAATTTATTAAAAAATAAAACTGTTACGCAGTTGTGAACCACCCACGAACACAAAAACGTTGGAATTACCAACGTTTTTGTGTTCGTGGGTGTAAAATGGCCACAAAAGCTTGATCGGCAACAATGAGAAACAAGAATCGGTAGCGATAAGAACCATAATATTTCGTTTTGCTTCCTTAACTTAATTTCAATAAACAGACGAATTAAAACATACACAATGTAAAAGTTTAACACTTAAACACTATAATCATGTTATTTGATGGGGCGTGAAGATTTAATACTATCGCTCCTACGTTAATATAAAAAAACATTTTCCAAATGTAATTGAAATAAACATTTAAAATTTAAAAATGTGACAAAGTGCGATAAATCGGGTAAATTAGCTAGTTAACCGAGATGCATTTCATCATCATCATCATTTCAGCCTGTTTGAGTCCACTGCTGAACATAGGCCTCCCCCATAGACTGCCATGAAGTACGATCCTGAGCCACCTGCATCCATCGACTGGACCTGGGTGCTATGCTCAATGACCTCAACAGTGTCTCCCAACGGCCCACCCGCATACCTTAACATGAACATGGACAAGACGAAGATCATGTCTAATGTCCATGTCACGCCTATACCGGTTGTTGTTGGGAGCACTGAGCTCGAAGTTGTTGATGAGTACGTTTACCTAGGACAGATAGTCCGGCTAGGTAAGTCCAACTTCGACGCAGAGGTCAATCGGCGAATCCAACTCGGATGGGCAGCGTTCGGGAAACTTCGGCAAATCTCGTCGAATATACCTCAATGTTTGAAGACTAAAGTCTTCAATCAATGTGTGTTGCCAGTGTCGACCTACGGAACCGAGACGTGGTCCTTCACTGCTGGCCGTATGAGGAAGCTCAAAGTCGCTCAGCGAGCTATGGAGCGGGCTATGCTCGGTATTTCTCTGCGTGATAGTTCGTAACGAAGACATCCGCAGTAGAACTAAGGTAACCGACATAGCTCAGAGGATTAGCAAGCCTAAGTGGCGATGGGCCGGCCATATAGCTCGTAGAATCGATAACCGTTGAGGAAGAAAGGTTCTCGAGTGGCAGCCGCGTACTGGCCATCGCAGTGTGGGACGACCCCCCACTAGATGGAGTGACGACCTGTGCAAATGTGCGAGATGCATTTACGTGCTTTTTAATAATATTTTTACACAGCGCTCTTGTTATAAAATCCCAAACTAAGCGAAACTTTTACTATAGGTACTAGGGAACTGATAGATATATTTAAACATACATTTTTTTGTAAACATATTATAGATATATAAACACCCAAACACTTGAAAAACACTATGTAATATAAAAATCATCACACAATAATTTTCCAGTAATGGGGAGCAACCACATCCTCTAGTTCAAGAGACAAGGTAATTATTCTATATGCCAATCGGGTCGTCATTGATTTAAAAGTCCCACATAATTCGAGTAACTGAACAAATTTTCGTTTTCTAAACCTTCACGAAGTATCGTTGCCAAGTATATTCATGGTTCGCGAATTGGCGAGTTAATCGTACTAGTAACAACTTACAAGGCATCTCAATTCCGCCGCCAAATACATTTCAACCGTCCAGGAAGAATGCAGTCCGTGCCAATTCATCGCGCTTGTATATCAAATTTGGCGGTTGCAATATAACGCAAATTATTTCAAGCCACATGACGTAACAAGAGAGGGCAAACGACTGAGGCGTTAGGCTTGCAGTGTGTAGTCGAAGGTTCGTTTTTATCTATTCAAGACCTGGAGTTAAATGGGGATGCAGTCATTGATGGTCATAGCACCAACGCCTCCACCCCTCCACTGTGCGCTAGCGTGCACCATTAGCTCAATTAAACGCTTTTTATTATTATATGTATATTCACTATAACAGTTTTATCAACTTTTTAGTGATATAAACTTTTTAGTGCTCTTCTCTACAGTTAATATGAAATTTGGAATATGTAGAAAAATAGACAAAAGGTTAGGGATCTGGAGCTGATCTTCGCAGCGCCGAAATATTTTCATCCATTTTTCTAATGTTTTTCTTATATTTAATGGCTAACGAATGCAATGATAATGCGCAAATGTGGCATTGCTTCACCTCAGATTGTTTTTATCTTGTTTGTCCCATAATATGGAAACATTTCCATTGTCATTCTGACAATGCATTCCTATACCTACTATTTTATCTAATTACACAATCCAACCGATCTAATAAATGGCTAGCATACATAGCAAGTCTGTGGGAGAAGTATCCTACAGTACATACATAAGGAAATCACCCGCTTATTTTATTGAGGACCTATTAAAGAATATACACAACGGTTTTGACTCGACAAATAAATGACTCTGGGTCGTGGGTTCGATTCCCATACGGGACAAGTATTATTGTGCCCCAAAGACAATTATTGCGGATGGATCTTTGATCTCGAAGTGGATAGACGCAAGGTAGGCGGCATTTTGAAGAAAAACCAATACAAGGTACAACAAGATTTACATGTTTGCCGACACCTAGCTGGGAAAAGGCAGGAGAATAATGGTGAAATAAGAAATACTTTTTTATCATAACAAGATAGGCGGAGACAGATAATACTTAATCACAGCACGCATGAGTACAACATACACGGCCCTACCCACTGTGGAGGGCTTCAAACCCGTGGGTTCTGGCTAGCCCACCGGTTCTGCGTTTGATGAAGCTTTAATAGTCTTAAGGGCTGAAAGCATAACATCAGTTACACAAAAAAAAAACTTATTCACATCTCACCAAGCTCATCAAGAGCTTCACAAGAATCCAAAGAATTTTATTTGCATCGCGTTTAATAATAAAGATGACGCATATCCATACTGCGCGGCGTTTAAAAATTGTTCCGCTTTACATTAGTAAATTATATTTTTATATTATTATTCGCTTGTATAGATCATATAATTATGACATGTACAAGCGAATGTGCCATATGATATACAACGTATGATGCGGAAAGAGATAGCAGTCTTTAGAATTGCGATCTAATTAAACCAAGTGGCGTAATTTGTAATACCTCGTATTTGTATATAATATCATTGATCCCAATCCTGTGAGTTTTTTCAGCGCTAACCTGATTATCATTTGAAAATACTTGATTAATTGAATAACTTGAATACAACATTACCAGCACTATTTTAACGACGACGGTGCATATACTGATAAATGAAATTGCGACGTACACGTTTTTACTTAAAACAAAACATTATTTTAATGACTAAACAATGTCTGAATGACGAATGTCATTTCAGTGTCAATTACTTTGAAGAACTACTTAATTAATACGAATTCAAGAATAATTTCTATTTTGACTGCTAGTCCCTGCGCGCAGGATGAAATTTAAAACGGTATTTTTGTATACAATTATTACAAAGTAGTATTACAAATAATAACAAACAAAAACTTTAGGCGCAGCGGGATTCAAAACTGCGTCTTCCGATTTCGTTGACTTGTGACTTTCAAATCCCGCCGTTGTATGAGAACGTTATGTAGAAGCTGCTGCGTAGCTCTAACATTGAAAGATTAGCATTTTCGAAGAATCGTACTGAAGTGTATGTCGGAATGATAACTTAATATTTTATACAAAAGAACCACAATGCAGACTATAACGCTCACTCACAAATGCCATAGCATTCGCTTCTTGTGAGACCGGCTGAAAACTATTAATTCATTATCGTATTCGAAAATAAATTTGATGTGATTATAGTAAAAAGTCTCCAAACCTTTTATCGTAAGTATCAGATTGACAAACATAGATTAAAACAGACAAACATAAATTAAAACAGATTGCGCTTACTGCGCAACATCCCTTATGACTTTTGTTATCACTTATTACAAAACGTAATACCAATCGGGAATACATGAAAGCTGTAGTTGATGTACGTACAAAAATATCGCAACCACGCCACCTGCCATTGTTATCATTTATTCGTTCACTTGTTTTATTTCGTATCTTTGAACCATTTACAAGAGTTTCGTGCCTCAATAAAACTAAAGGAGCCCTTATAGGGTATCCTCCTTGTCCGTCTGTTTATCTGTATGTGTGTCTGTCTGTCTGTATATCTGTCATGATCCTTCATCCTTTTATACAGGAACGCGTGAAAGTATCGAGTGAAAATTACTATCAAATATTCAAGTCTACGTTGGAGCTATGAAAAAAAACAACGTCTAAGTTAAGGCAATCAAAAGAGACGGCCGTTTTTGCCCCATATTTTGAAACTCGCAAGGTAATCAAAACCTATTGGGCTCTTCCGGTTGAATGAGAATCATGAAATTGGACAAAAAGTAAAGCCTCACAGTATAATATAATGAAAAGGGCGCGGGGACGTCATGGAACAGCGCGAAAAATATTCTTGACTCGATACCCGTGATGCACGAACTACTTACATAATTACTAGTTTGCACGGAACCCTCGGTGTGCGGATCCGACTCGCAATTGGCCGGTTTTGTTCTTCTTTTAGAGAAAACTATGTCCGCATCTTCACGTGGTACGAACGGTAGTGTGAAAAAACTGAACCAACATATTTAATAATCATGCTACGTTTTTAGAGGCTTTCCGAAGCATCCAATTTACCAAACGGAAGCCGTTTAGTTTTGATTATGAGTGATTACAAGATAAAATTATTTCTTGCATATGTATTTGATCATAAAAAAAATTGAATTTAAATTTAACTTAATTTTTACTGTCGTTTTATACAAAATGATTTAATAGGTATTGGTAGGTTTTAATATGTATGTATTAATTCTTTTGGTTTCAATTCTACTTTTTGTTTACTTTTTACCTATTACCTATAATAAGCATAAATATAAGAACAAAACCTGTAACTACAAAAAATATAAGATGTATATGTTATACTGTTGGTGTACCTTGGTAATTAAATAAGTAATTAAAGACCATACTAAAAACTATTAATATTGAATTGATTCAATAGATTATAGCGGTTTTGCTTATACCAGTGTTAGAAATATATTTTAAGATAATAATTTCTTGTATTTACGCGATTACACATTATAAATGAAACTAATTTTACGGATTTATCGCGTTTATTTTTAATTTAAATTCCTGACGTTTCGAACCCTTTACAGCGTTCATGGTCACGGGACAGACTTGAACGCTGTAAAGGGTTCGAAACGTCGGGAATTTAAATTAAAAATAAACGCGATAAATCCGTAAAATTAGTTTCATTTATATTTTAAGATTATAACCGTTCAGTACTTCTTTGAAATATATATGCAATTTCTTCTACCAATAATGAGAATAACAAAAATAACCGCGTGACATGTACGGTATAACAGTGCGTTCAGCCGCAAGTCATGACCTGAGGTTCAAAGTCGAGTATGTCATGTGATTTTAAACCACACCATAGTAACTAGTGTACAAATAGTATAAATAACAAATGTTTTTAAATAACCTCCACCAGCTTACTCGCAACATATTAACAAAGCACTTTACTGTAGAAAAAAAATATTATCACATGTCTATAGTCCTTTATAGGTTACACCTTATACTTTAAGTTAATGTGTATCGGTTTAAGAGACAATGACGTGACAGGTGGTGCTTAAAGCTTACAGCCGAAACCAACCCGTAAAATGTGGAAAGGTCATTTTTGCGAAATCCGAAACACAGATAACAGTATGGGAATCTCTGGAATTGTAATCCGCGTTGACATCAAGCAAATCTCAAAGGCAGCTTAAGAACAAAAGAATTAATTGTTAATTGTATGTAGTTCTGAATATGCGACGTCGTTACGCAGCGTGAAATTTCTCACGGCCGTAGCAAATTAGAGGTATAATAGCGATGTGTTTGTATTTAATTACCATCCACTTACCACCATTATCATACAGTTCAGCAGTATTGGTATGGAGAAAACGACGGATATGAACAGGCCTTTGCTATCGAAGTACTGCTGCCGAGAGAACAGCGTCCAATTTCTGGCGGCCACTTCGTTTATGCTCTCCGAGAAATATACCAGAAGCACTGCAAGAAAAGCTGATTTTTAGTCTTATAGTAAATTACCTGACGTGTTAATGGCATTATTAGACATCACTAAAGTGACAATCCACTGTGTTGCAGTGGCTGCTGCCTCCTCCAGGGAAGTTAAACGACATCCCAGTAGACGAAAGCAGGGGAGAGCTTTTTATGCTATGTTAGGTTCTAGCGGTCGAACAACGCGACCGGGGTAGTACTACGGCCGCGACCATAATTAACGCACGTAGTTACACGATCTACTCCCGTTCCTGGCCCTTTGTTCCTCAATAACGCTTAGTTAGCGCCCGCGGTTCCCACGCATCGTAACGCGAAGTGGAATGTTCCGACGACGACGAAAATGCAGAGGCAGCAGTTCCAGCCCTCGTTTCTTTTAGTATTAAGTTTAGTCGTAAGAACAGTCTGTATTAAACATCCGATTGTATCACTCACTTGTAATTTTTAATTAACATTAAATATTAAAAATCGATTTAGTGTCTTTTTAAAAAGCAAGTTGCGCCTTCCTCAAACTTGACTGGCGCAGCCGGTAGGATTTTCCGAAAGTTTCGCGAATATATACGGTCGCGTTCGCCCCAAACTTGGCGAAAATTCGAAAAAAACCGTTTTTACGCGTACGAGGAAAATCCGTCGAACCAAAAATAAAATTCGTCTCCCGGGGGAGCGCGGAAGTTGGGGTGTCGGAGCAGACTCAGGAGGACATGGGATTGAGCAGAACAGCGTGAGTAAACCTTTTCACTTCCTGCAATTTCCTTTGACTTTTCCAACATAATATCGCATTATAATTTGTAGAATCTAAGTATTAATTTTATTTGATTTTGATTTACACTAAATAGGTAAATCGCTTAGCTTACTACCATATCTTTACGCATTTGCACAACTCGGCAAGTCAAAAATTTTAGAAATAAATTTAAAGTTAAATAACATTGAAATTGTATATAAAGTAGAGATAGGTTTTAGTCATTAATTTTGTGAATAAAATGGAGTTCCGAGCAATTCCTAAAGAGGTGCTCTCACTTATCCCTAAATACGATGGGGACGAAAGCCAGCTTAACCTGTTCTTATCCAAATGTGATTACGTGGTTAGTGGAAGCGTGATAGTAGGAAACCAGGCCCAAGATTTGTATGTTTTTCATGCTGTGTCTAGTAGACTGACGGGTAGAGCCGCGACTTTATTAAGCGATCACCCAAACATTACGTCTTATTTAGCCTTAAAGGAAATTTTAACGCAACATTTCGGCGATCCTCGTTCGGAGGAATGTATCGCGATCGAACTAGAGACCCTCAAAATAAAACCATCGGAAACATATATTCAATTTTGCCATCGAATCCAAAATGTTAGGAGTTCACTTTTTGCCAAGGTCAACAGATTGCCTGATGAAGGAATCAAGGCTGCCAAAATGATTGTGTATAATAATACGGCTTTAAATGTTTTTCTGTATAACCTCCCTGAGGATATGATTAGAATTGTAAGGCTAAAAGGTTGCTCTACATTAGAAAACGCACTCAGTATTGTCACAGAAGAGGTAAACTTCAAATTCCAATATGACGCCAAAAGCAAACTTTTGAGACAAACCGCCCAAAATTCACCTAATACATCTCAACCGGTAAATCCAAAACCAGCATCATTCAACTTAACACCACACGCAAATAATAACTTTAAATTTGGAATTCCACATAATAATTTCAAGTTCGGCATACCCCAAAACGTTAGTCTTAGACCAGCTTTCCAAACAATGCAACAACCAAGATTCACATTCCCACAACATAAGCCAACTTTCCAAGCAACACAGCAGCCGAAATTTGGGTACCAACCACCAAGGTTTCCATCTCAACAACCAACCTTCACACCACCCACACAAGGCTATCGTTTCGGAATTCAACCGCAGCGCCCATCTCAAGCCCCTAACCAACGACCACCATTCCAATACGGTGGATTTAAATTCGGGATACCCCACCAACAAATACAGCCTCCAAAATATGATGATGACGTCACGATGCGTACCGCCCCTGTTAGGCAGAACCTTCTTGTGAATGAGCTTTACTACGACGAGCCTATGTATAATTATGACTATAACTATGACTCATATGGAAACGGTGCACCGTACTCCGTCAACGAATGCAATTATATCCAAAATACCGACGAAGTAAGTCTCGCATACCAGGAAAATAGTTATGAAGAAAATACCCATGACGAAATACCTGTAAACTCGGAAAATTTTCGGGAAACGGCCTCGACGGATGTGGAGAAATAATAAACCTTAATTATTGTAACAGCATCCAAAAATTACCACACATAGAAATACCTGAAATAAACTCTAAATTTCTTATTGACACGGGAAGTTCGCGTTCCTTTATAAGTCCCGCAAAAGTTAAAGAATACTTTAATGATTTTAGATACTATGAACCTTTTAAAGTTATTAGCACTCATGCTCAGAGCACACATGATGAAATTATATACATACCATTGCTGAAAACTTTCAAGAGCCATCTCCAGCAAAAATTTTATGTGTATGACGTAGACAAACGTTACGACGGGTTAATAGGATCTGACCTTTTATCCAAATTAGGAGCAAACATTGACATGCGTAACCAAATGTTGGTGACCCACAACGCGTATATTCCTATAATATACGACCCACCATATGAGATCGAGATACCACCACGAACTGAGAGGAAGATTAGGATTCCCACCGACTTACAACATGGTGAAGCATTGATAGACTACAAGCAATTTCAGGAAGGCGTCCGTATGCCAGCCGCACTTGTAAAGTGCGAGAACTACTTTGCTGAAACGGTCATACAGAACGCTTCTGAAGTAAAAGCCGTTATAACTTTTAAAGAACCTTTTCACGTAACCATTTATAAGAATGAAGAATGTGAAGTTAACTTTATAGAAGGTGACCTTAATACTGATTACCTACTGAAAGAGAACTTGAAAAAATTACGACTAGACCACACAAATAAAGAAGAACGTGAGTATATTTCTAAATTGTGTTATGAGTATCGTGACATATTTTATTGTGATAAAATACCATTATCATTTACTAACCAAATAAAGCACAATATTAGGACTACCAACGAAGACCCAATCTACATCAGGCCCTATAGACACCCGCCTGCTGTTAATCAAGAAATTCAGAAACAGGTAGATAAACTTTTGACAGATAATGTAATAGTTGATTCCCACTCACCTTGGAGTGCGCCCGTTCATTTGGTGCCAAAGAAATTAGATGCAACTGGAGAAAAAAAAAATACAGGATGGTCATCGACTATAGACGTCTCAATGAAATAACCGTAGACGACAAATATCCATTGCCAAATATAACAGATATTTTCGATAAAATAGGCAAATCCCAATATTTTAGCACCATAGACCTGGCCAGTGGTTACCATCAAATTGAAGTAAACGAAGCAGACAGGGCAAAAACGGCATTCACCACACAGACAGGACATTACGAATTCAAAAGACTCCCGTTCGGGCTCAAGACAGCTCCTGCAACATTCCAGAGGGCAATGGACAACGTGCTACGAGGACTTCAGGGTATACATTGCTTGGTATATCTTGATGACATCATAGTGTTCTCTAACAGCCTGCAAGAACATATCGACAAACTCAGGAAAGTTTTTGATCGACTCAGGGAAACCAATCTCAAAGTTACCTTAGATAAATGTGAATTCCTACGAAAAGAAGTTCTATACCTTGGACACACAATTACGAAAGACGGCTTAAAGCCCAATAACGACAAGATAGAAGCTGTATTGAAATTCCCACTACCACGAACGTCTACTGAAATTAAGAGTTTTCTTGGATTGGTAGGTTACTACCGGAAGTTTATAAAAGACTTTGCTAAAATCACGCAACCTCTTACATCATGTCTAAAAAAGAAAAATAGAATTGACTGTACAAAAAAAGAATACATAGACGCATTTGAAAGATGCAAGGAGCTCTTGACAAACGCACCGCTCTTACAATTTCCAGACTTCTCCAAACCATTTATTCTTACAACGGACGCCTCGAATTACGCAATTGGTGCAGTACTATCCCAAGGACCTATAGGCAGCGACAAACCGGTAGCTTACGCGAGCCGTACTTTGAATGACGCAGAAACACGCTACAGCACGATCGAAAAGGAATTCCTAGCAATAGTGTGGGCCACAAAACATTTCAGACCTTACCTTTACGGACAAAAATTTATCATATATACCGACCACAGACCACTTATGTGGGCCAAGTCAATATCAGAACCGAATAGCAAGTTAACAAGATGGAAACTGCGGCTTGCGGAATTTGATTATGAAATAAAACATAAGGAAGGAAAACAAAATTGTAATGCCGACGCTTTATCAAGAATCAAGGTGAACGCGTTAAGTGAAGACGACGACGCGTCAATGCAGGTGAACGTGGATGAAAAGGAGCAAAAACTCAAACGCTATATTGCTGAATTAACTAGTGAAATAGAAAAATTGAATCAGAGGAATGCAGCATCTACGTCACATGAAAGCTCACCGACCCCGATAGAAATACATCCGACTCCGATGAGAATACCTTATCCATCCAGAGCAAGAGTAGACAATCTCCATACTCCATACCGACTACAAGTAGTACTGCAACTGCATCTGAAGGACGAGATGATATGAGTACCATAGATACAATTCATTCAGCAAAAGATCTTGATACAGATGGTATGCTTATATTACAGGAAGCCATAGATACCAAACCAAACCAAATACTCGTGCATACATGGAATAGAAATAAAATATCCGTTAAAGACATATCTAGGGATAAGCAAAAGGTCCTAGAAATCCACCTACCCCTGGACAACCCAGAACTAATCAAAGGATTTCTGAAAAGCTATATAAGACCCAAAATAAAATACTTTCTTTACTTCGAAGACCCACAGCACCGCAAACAGTTCTCAGAAGCAATATTGAAACTTTTTCAGAAAGGAACGGTAAAATTCTACGAATGCACAAAGAGAGTAATATATGTGGACGACGAACAGGAACAGCGCGACATCATAATTAAATACCATGCAGGCAAAAATAGTCATAGGGGTATAAAGGAGACTTTACTGCACCTTAAACGCACGTTCTACTGGAATAACATGAGTCAGACAATAGCTAGCATTATTGATGCATGTGAAGTTTGTAGAAAAATGAAATATGATCGTAAACCACTAAAACCGGAATTACAATTAACACAAACACAAAATAGACCATTCCAAGAGTTATTTATCGATATCTTCTCGATTGACGGAAAACAGTATCTCACAATCGTGGATGCCTTTAGTAAACTAGGTCAAGCGATCGAAATTAATAACAAGTCTACACCTGAAGTTATTAGAGCCTTAATAAAGTACTTTTCTTTATACGGAACACCCAATAGAATCAGTTCAGATTCTGGTACTGAATTCAATAACACATTAATGAAGGAAATGCTCTCTTTTTATAAAATAGATCTCCACATAGGCACTCCTCATAACCCAAACTCCATGGGAGTAGTCGAGCGATTTCACTCCACCATCATAGAAATATATAGGATTGCCAAATACGAACAAAAGATAACAGATGCTGCATCAGTTATGGCATACGCCATAATGTCCTATAACCACACAATACATTCTACAACGGGTCTCACCCCATTTGAAGTAGTTTTTGGCCACACGGAATCAAATAACGTATTTCACGTCGATTTCAACAAGCAATTTACACAACAACTCGTAAAAGAACATGCCCGACGAACGAAATACTTATACAAATATCTCACAGATAAGATCATAGACAAAAAACAGACGGAAATAAAGAAGCGAGGTGGTGATACAAATTTCGACATAGACATAGGTGACACAGTGTACATAAAAGGGGTAAACACTAGGCGCGGCAAAGATAAACCACGGTATCAAAAGGCTCAAGTTACTGGAGTCATAGAACGTAACGTGGTACCCATCACTACGAATAATAGGAACACCAAGGTACCTATTAAAGATATCAAACGCCCTCCGCAGGTTACTCCTTCTGGTGGTCCAGACGGGAGCCTTTCTTCTACACCGGATTGACAAGAACCCCGGACTACTACCTATTAAAGAAGGACAAGCCCTGGTCAGCCATGACGCTTGGACACTCATTAAAATTTTAGATTTAGAATTATTATATGAGGAACTAGAATCCAATATGAATAGTTACGTAAAGTTAAAAATCCAGATAAAAAACTGTTTTGATAGTAGAATATTAGATTCGGACCTTTCCGACGTCGAAACACAAACCGATTATGTCATGAACATAACTATAGAAAAATTTAAACAACTAAACCCGTCAATAAGATCTAAGCGTGGTTTGCTAAATCCCCTTGGCTCATTAATTAAGACAATCACTGGCAACCTTGATAACGATGATGCTGTAAGGTATGAAAAATTAATTCAGGATGTTCAGGCGAAACAAAACACTTTAAACAGTAAAATAACAATCGTCGCTGAAATGTTGGGTTCATTCTCAAAAATAGCAAATTCTACCAAAAGTAATTTTGTAAAAATTGAAGAAAGCATTCAAGATATTATTCACAAATTAAACGAATCAAAAGTTTTACAATCGATTAATAGAGTTGTCCATATCTATAATGCTTTCCTCAACCGATTTCAAACTCTCTACCTAAGGCTAAATGAAATTGAAACGGTCATTGCTTTTGCCAAAGTAAACCAATTACACCAATCAATAATAGATACAGACGAACTAATAGCATTATTAAGAAAAATTGAGAAAACCGACAAGCTTGTGTTTCCAGCTAATATAGAGAATATAGTAAGAATAGAGCAATCTATAGAGCCTACGTAAAACAAAATCAGATAAAATTAATCATGCAAATTCCTCTAATCAGAAATGATGTCTTTAACTACTTCAAATTGATTCCCGTACCTATCTATAATACCAGAAGCGACCTTACCTCCCTCATTATTCCTAAGTATCCTTATATCCTTGTGAAAGGGTTGAAAGCAATGCCACTCTCCCAGCCATGCAGCGAGATCGACGAAGCCCGCTTCCTATGCTTCGAAAATAATATACCACCGATGGAAGATGACTGCATCACTGATCTCATGAAGTTTTCCACAAACATTACTTCCTGTCAGCCAGTATCCGTGACCATAAATAACGTAAGAACATACCTGATACAACCAAACCGATGGATTATTTATGCTAAAAAAACAGAAACACTGTTGACCAAGTATTGCAACGACGAAATTTCACAAGAACCTGTTTTCGGAACTTACCTATTGACCATAGACGACGACTGCGAAATTAGAATAAAAGACCTCAAGCTGAAGAAACGCCAAAATCGAGGAAAAGAAATATCTTATCCGAAGTTCCCAAATATCCAGTTACCGACAATTCAAGCAAACCCAACGTCTGGTCTCCAGAAACCCGTAAACCTAAACAGAGTGGACCTTGCCGATATTCAGTTCCTGAATTATCTATTACAAAAGAGTGGAAGTGAATTTAGTGATAGTGAAAATTATAATAGTATGGTTAACCCAAAAAGCATTGGTGTAGGGAACATAGCATTCTTTGTAATAGTGGTATCGTGTATTGTACTTTTAGCTTTTAAGAATAGTATTAGGAAAATATGTAACCGTATTTTAGGAAAAACTCGGGATCATCCCCACCCTGCGGATAATCCCGATCTTGCGGAGGGAGGAGTTACACGATCTACTCCCGTTCCTGGCCCTTTGTTCCTCAATAACGCTTAGTTAGCGCCCGCGGTTCCCACGCATCGTAACGCGAAGTGGAATGTTCCGACGACGACGAAAATGCAGAGGCAGCAGTTCCAGCCCTCGTTTCTTTTAGTATTAAGTTTAGTCGTAAGAACAGTCTGTATTAAACATCCGATTGTATCACTCACTTGTAATTTTTAATTAACATTAAATATTAAAAATCGATTTAGTGTCTTTTTAAAAAGCAAGTTGCGCCTTCCTCAAACTTGACTACGTCCTTAAGGTCTGAAAGCGTAACATTAGTTATGCAAATACAAATACTACGGCGTCTGACTAGATTAATATAATATAATACACTTTATACTATTACAAATTAATAATATTGCAAACTTAACATGATGAATGAAATAAAAAAAACAACCGAAGGCAATCCCTTGGGAGGATGTCAGTCGTATTTCGGGATGACGTTCGACGTCAACATTTTGTTCCAAACGAATATTAAAATAGAGACACCTTTATTTCAGGCTGACTCAAATTCCAGGCGAAGTCCTTGAGAAAATTGTCCTTAAAACACATATCTCTTCACTACAACGCCTATGTATGACGTACAATGTCATATTCTTGCATCGTCATTTGCACACAAAGTGCGACTGCATTTTGCTGTACTGCACCACAACTGTAGACGATATGCTATCAGGTCTGTATCGTCAATATTATTAAATAAAATTAAAAGTAAATTCACATTAATTGAAGAAAATAATTAACTAATAAAACAAGGCTATTTCTTTAGTAATTGTGCCTCAAGTAAATAATGGCATGTATGTATAATTATAGAACAAATGGTTTTTTGGTTTGCAAGGTCAAACTCGTAAATATGGGGTCGACTAAGTAACAAGCCATATTACTAATATCATCTATGTAGTTGATTCTGTGAAACGCATTGCTCCAATTCTGTAATAACTGAGAATTTTTGATGTCCACAGAGAATTGTTTTATACTTAGAACAGAGTTTACATTTGAGCCGCTGCCTTAGTGCTAAGTAAATTGTCAAATAGTTCACAAGAAAATACCTACACAAAAAATATGTACACAAGAAATTTCCAAAAACTTATTGGTTAACTTTATTCACAATTTACCATATCATAAAGATTGCAACATTTTCAAAAGTAAAAGATTAATTAAAATTTGTAGAAAAAAATGCATGAAAAGTTTTTTGAAAATGTTGCGGGAATGGAACCTATCAATCTTCCCGATTTGTGCCCAGACACTTTAACCATGATGATGATGATGATGAATTATATTGTATGTATCTTTTCATTTTAGTGATATATTTAACTCTATGTCAATGTGACTAACAACTTATGATAAAACAAAAGTTTTAAGTGAAATTTTGCACACCAGTCAACATTTTTTATGAACTGTCCTGTAGCCCGCATTGACATCTACATTTGCTGCCCACAGACATATGAAAAACAATGTAGCTATTTTACAATATGCTCTTTACTTACAAAGGTATACTTTTCTAAATTTAAATTTAATTAAAAAACAAACAAAAAATACAAGTCATATAAACTCACATAATGTTATGAACAGAATGACTTGAAAGTTTCCATAATTTCTTGTTGAAAAGCACATGAATGTCACCAGCACATGAAAGGATAGAAGTGCTATAAGCCATGGATCACGCCATTCAATCTGTAATAAAAATTTGTTATTTGCAATCTTAAGTACTTCGAAAGTAAAACATGCCGGCGAATAGAACAATTTTGAAATTAGGTAGTAACAAGCTTTTTCTATCTGGTAACAACTGTCTGAGGAGACAAGAATTCCAATAATAAATAATAAAAAACTTAGTCCGTAGTAAGGTAGTAATTACTCTGGGTAAACTGTATATATAAATAATACGAAGAATGACAAAAAATTTGCGAGTTCGACAAATAAGGACAGTTAAAAATTAATGTAAACTTACGCTACGTATGTATGAAACAAAATCCGATATTTCATTTACTTCTATGAATCCCTCCATTTTTAATTACAACTGGCAGGCATAAAAATCTTGCATAAAAGCTGAAAATCACTCTGACAAAATTGACAAAACTCAAATCCACAAATCTTAACTTGAAATTTAGACATTTCCAGTCTTCCAATTCCAAAGACAATAACAAATTCAATACCATACAGCAAGGCATAGTCATCGATCATACTGCCAACTATTAATTTAAAATATAAACATAAGTCACAATAAAACTCATATTATTTTATTATATTTCTAATAGTTGTATCTATTATTCTAATATGTGTAATAATTATGTCAGAATGACTAGGAATCATATCATTCCTTTTTCAGATCCGGTTTCATTTTATATTTTCTTTTGTGAAGAACAAAGCAAAATACACTGATATTTTGCTTTGTTCTTAGCGACGGCTTTGATAGCTTCGTTGCAGGGTAAAACTCTATTGGATTAGTTTTTTTTTCGTTAAACATCTTGCAAACAGAAAATAATATTTTCTTATTCATCAGTTCTTGTTCTTTTTTGGCTCAATGTCAATATAGACATAAACAAATAAAAAAAAAGGAATTGTCATATCTGTGAATTTGTTTTCTTTGTCAATCAACAGAAATCGAATAGTATTGCGAATTTTTAAACTTTAACCATAGCAAAAGTTGATTATATTTCAGTTTAATCGTGAAAATATTGTTAAAATGATAAAATAAAAGTATTACATAAGGAATATCTAATGTGTTATTATGTTTTAGTTCATTAAATAATCTATAAGCCGGTATAACAAAATGTTTAATTTAATATTAATTGAGGCAATATGCTATTTATTTTGCAATTCCATAAACCACGTGTCCGGAGCACAAGCTATTGGTGGTTTGATTAGGGCCCAACAGGGAAAATATTCTGTAGATCTAAGCGGATGTGGCATTATTGAGAAACAGTGCTCTCAATTGGACGATGATCTTACGATACTCTCGTGTGCCTTGAACGCAACTCATAATAACAAAACACAGACAACAATACTTTGTCAACATAAAGTCTGGATGCACCAAGCTGAACTCCTAGATAATGCATATATAGATTATAAACTAAGGGAACCATGTCAAGAAGAACCATCTATAATGGATTGCCTTAGTCCAACAGAATTCAGTATAGATTGTATATTAAAACGAAAACCCAGTATAAAAGATAAAACTTGTTGGACTGTAATTGACAACATAGAATTTTTGATTTTTAATGACTGGCAAATAACAGGCAACTTTCTAAGGAATTGTTTTTTTGATATACATAGCTATAACTGTGGGAGAATTCCAACAGACTTAAAGAGTATGTCACAAACACAAACATTAAAATGTCTCCAAAGTCAAATTCAAAATCTCAAACCTGAGTGTCAATCTGAAATTAATGTTTTAAATGAAATGAAATACAATACTCTTCAGTTGGATAAAATTGTCTTTGCTGCATGTAATTTAGATTTAAAAAACTTTTGCCTTGATGAAGTGCCTGGGTCCCTTTTAATGTATAAATGTCTCGTGAGACATAAGTATGAGAAAGGTTATTAAATTACTATTTTACAAACATAATGTTTAATAACAATGTCTCCAATTTATTACCTTTTGTTTCAGGAATGACCAAAAGGTGCCAAGATCAACTCTTTTACATACAGCGAAATATGGTTATGAACTACAAGATGAGTAAAGGCTTAGTTAAATCTTGTAAAGAAGACATTAGAAAATATCATTGCAGAAAAGGTGTTGTAGAAGATAAGGAAGTTAGACTAGCTCAAATTTTATTGTGTTTGGAAAATATATCAAGAAATGAAAGTGCAAAGTTAACCCCGGAATGTATTGCTGAAATGATTGATCACAGAAAAATGCTAATGGATGATTACAGATTATCACCAGAGTTAATGCAAAATTGTGCTAATGATATCAAAAAACTATGTAGAGGTATTGAAGCAGAAGGTAAAACAATACACTGCCTAATGGAGCATGCTAGACCTAGAAAGAGGAAAGAAAAAAGAATAAGTATGACTTGTCAAAAATCCTTAGAGGCTTTAGTACAAGAAGCTGATCCTGGTGAAGATTGGAGAGTAGATCCTATTTTACGAAAAGCATGTAAACCAGTTGTGGATCGAGCATGCAGGGAAATAAACGGTGGAAATGGAAGGGTAATGTCATGCCTAATGGAAAAGCTTGGTACTGTACTAATGACAAATGATTGTGAAACAGCTTTACTTCAAATACAATATTTTATATCCAGAGATTTTAAACTTGATCCCCAACTCTATAAAGCTTGTAAATATGATGCTGTAACACAATGTAAAGCTAAATTACAATGGGCCGATGCTAATGAACAACAATCAGAGAAAGATCCTCTTATTTTACCATGTCTATACAATTATGCATATAATTCTGCATTTAAAGGTATATTGAAACCTGCATGTGAACAACAAGTAAGAAAGGTAATGAGGCAAAGAGCTGTAAGCGTGGATTTGTTACCAGAAATTGAAGATTTTTGCATTGATGATTTAGCAAATCTTTGTTTTGAAAATACGGGAAAAGGTGATGAAATATTATGCTTGCAAAATAAATTAAAGGACTTAACTCCAAAGTGTAAGGAGGTTGTGACTAACTTCACAGAAACACAAAGTGGTCATATAGAACTAAATGCAATAGTGAGCACTAACTGTCGAATACCTATAGAAAAACTTTGTTCATCAGAACTTAAAACTAAAAAAGATGAAGATGATGTGTTAGATTGTTTAATTGCTCATAAAAATGATCCAGAAGTAAAAGGTAATGTCAAATGTCGTGCAGCTATTGAACATGAGCAGATAATTGCTTTAAAAAATTATAGATTCACAAGAAAATTTAAAAATGCTTGCAAGTCGTATGTTGTTAGGTTCTGTCCCAAAGCACAAACAAAAACTCAAGTTGTGACATGTCTTAGTGAAATTGTAAGAAATGACACTATTAGCAGGAGAAAACACACAATATTTAAAGACTGCCGTCAACAATTAAGAAGTCAATTATTTCAACAAAAAGAAAGCATTGACTTGGACCCTGAACTTAGGGAAGCTTGTTCGAGAGATTTGCAAATGTTTTGTCCTACTATACCTCATGGCGAATCAGCTGCATTGGAATGTCTACAAACAGCAAAAGGAAAGTTAAGTGATGGATGCAGAAAAGCAATTTTTGTTGTTCGAAAACAAGAATTTACAGATAATGCTATTGACTACCATCTCATAACTAGCTGCAATGATATGATAGACTTGTACTGCCACAATACAGAATCCTCAACTATCTTAGATTGTCTTAAGGTATACATTTAACATTGTTTTTGTAATTAATATGTATTAAATATACATAGATACTATGTTTTACTTTTAGGTTCATCAGCAAAAACCAGACTTTGATGAAAATTGTAAGATTGTTATTGTTAATAGATTGATTGAACAAAACCTGGATTACCGTTTCAATAATAATTTGCAAAATGCCTGCAAACCTGATATAAAAAAATTCTGTTCAAGAGTTATTGGTAGGTATGAGATAGTTTACATACAAATTAGTTTTTAATTAGTAGGGACAAAACTACAATTTTTTCATTTTATAGCAATTGAACCACAAGATGTTGAACTGCAAGGAAAAGTATTATATTGTCTAAAAGAAAAGTTTAGAGAATTTAAATTGACTTCTTCATGTGAAAATGAACTGGCAAATATATTGAAGGAACAAGCTTTAAATTATCGCCTTGATCCATTGCTTGGAAAATTATGTAAAGCTGAAATACAAACAATTTGTACTGCACCTAAAGACTCCATTACAAATTCTGATGGACAGGTAAGGTATTCACAATAGTCATTGGTACATTATTATTTATGACTATTTTTATAATTGCCATATAAATTCAAAATTAATTTTAATAGGTGGAGGAGTGTCTCAAAAATGCATTATTAAATCATAAAATAGTCTCAGCTGAATGTGCACAGGAAGTAGCCCAGATAATAGAGGAGACTGAAGTTGATATTGAGGCAGATCCATTATTAGAACGTGCTTGTGCATTGGACCTATTAAAATATTGTAAAGAACTGGAACATGGAGCAGGAAGACGTGAGCTTTTTGTTTTTAAAAATTATACTTAATTGCTTGATTTACATATATGATCTAAAAACAATTATTGTATTCATTACAACAACAATAAAATAACAATAATATTCTAAAAGTTATTTTTTACTTAATTTATCTTTCATTTTAAATACTTATCAACACTGTTTCAACATATCATATCAACACAGTATTCAATAAATTATTTCTTAATTTATTTATTATATTTCTTAATTAGTATTAAAGAGTTGTTTCTTTCAGGTCTTAAATGTCTCAAGATAATTTTAAATGATAGTAATAGGAAACTAGATACAGAATGTGAAAAACAATTATCCAGTCGTTTGGAAATGTATAAATATGTTGCTGTAAGTAAAGATTTATCATTAATTTTTCTTAATCTATATTTGTTCCAATCCTTATAACCTGCAATATCCCTAAAGTTCAGTATAGTACAACCAGGCACCATGTTGTAAAGAAGTTATGACAGCAAATAGATAAATTGTCTATACAAATAACATATTGGCTTTATCAAAAATTTTTGCTTTTACTTAGGTTTATGAAGTGTTTATTCTACATACATATTTTGTCTTTTAATCTAGGCTTTTCATTATATTTAGTCATTTTGTACCAAACATTGCCTATTATCCAAAACACTACCCATATATTTTATTTTTAATTTACAGGCACATCATGCAGAAAATTTGGGTGATATCTATAATGAACTGTCTTCATCACCATCAAAAAAATATTTTCTTCTAGTAGCTATGTCCATTGTTGGCCTCATTTTTATATTTGGCTTATATTGCGGCCGTATGACAAAAAGAGCGATGTATATAAAGAGAAAATAGAAATAGTATAAATAATGTATTATTAAAATAATAAACAAATATTTTCTACTTTTGATTCACATACATATATTATTCATTCCATTCTGAGATTTCATCAAAATCAATGTCTTCTAATTTTTTGGGTTGTTCTTTCTTAATCACATGTTTTGTTTCTGTTTTTATTTCAACTTTGTCATCACCTTTGACAAGTTTTTGACTTTCCTCAAAGTATTGATTTGGATGGTTAATACCTAAACCAAATTCTGAATTATGAGCTGCGTCAAAATATTTACTGCAAGCTATTTGGAAGTGACCCTTTTTAGCCATGTCCACAATATCAAACAAAGCTGAAAAAAGAACACAAATTTAGATAAACAAATCATCAATACAAACAATATTTCAACAATGAAAATTGAAAGATTGCTCTCTCATCAGCATTTCTATTTCTAGTTGTCGTAATAAGAGGATTGTGGAGTTTACTCAGTTATTTACAAGAATAAGTATATGAAAAATTATCTTTTTACCTTGATTTTCTATGCCATATCCCTTCAATCTATTTTTCAGATTGCTAGGGTCACAATGTCTAAATGGGCAACCATGACAGTCTCCTGGACCCACATTGTTGTTTATAATTTTTAAACAGTTAAAGGGCGAGTAGTTTTTTTTACTACCTTCTTTACCATAATTGTATCTTATATTATATGCATACTGTTTCTCAAACTTATCCAATTCCATTATTTTTGTAAATTCCTCTCTCCAAAACCTTAAAGAGTCTTCTAGGGTTACTCCTATTCCCTTTAAAAATAGACCATATTGTAGCCTTCCCCCATGTTTCAGATGGTGGCTCAATCTTAACTGTTCATGAAGCTGTCTCATACACAAAGGAAATGATTTCACTGATAGTGAATCCAGAGTTTCAATAGGGATTGCAACTTTAGTATCACTGTAGTCATTACCAGAATAAGATTGGTGTAAACCTTTCAATAAACCAATTAGTCTCTCATCTTGCTCTATTTCACCCAGATGGTGACAAGCAACAACCAAACTCTGTTTCAAATGTATTCTATACTGTGAAGAGAGAACAGAAATAAAATCTTTGTCTGCTATGTATGCATATCCACCTTTGATGAACACTTTTCTAGCTTTTACTAAATCTAAAACTTCAAAAAATTTAACTTTATAAAATTTCAAAGAATCAACTTTATGGTGGGTGGTTGATTCTCTTAAGTAATTGATAAGCTGATTTTTTTCTTCTTCAGAGATATAAGTATAACACAAATTGTTGAGCTTGAAAAATTCATCTACAGCATCAGATTTCATAGTCATAAATCTCATCTTGAATAATTCCAATTCTCTAGTAATAAACCATCTTCGTAGTTCTTCGGTTCTACAATAAGCTAATCTAAGAATAAAGTGACCAATGTGATCTTTACGCCTAGCCTGTAAATCATTGTCACTTGTTCCATATCCTGAAATATCACACAAATTGGCGTAGTATTTTAATCCCTGTGAACGTAATTCGTTAATTACAAATTCTCGCCATTCACTTGAATAAATTCGCAGTCCTTTAAGTGTAGTAGCAGTTGCTAAACATCTTAATAACGTAAGCCTTTCTAAAGCTAAAGTTTCAAATTCATGCAATCTTATATTCTCTATTGGTGGAATTTTGTACATCTGCAGATCATGAGGATAGATCTCTAAGAGATTACAGTTATGCACCATTCGTGTAGATCTTCGTTTAATCTTTAAATCCATTTTGATAAAAGTAACACTGAAAAGAAAGGAATTAATTTTTTAACTATTTGGCGCGAATTTTGACAGTTCTGTTTCTGACCTTCTGAACTAGTTATTAACTTTTTTATTATTTTGGTTAAACGACTTTAGGATTTGTTCATACAGACAAGACATCATTAGTTATACTACCATTTTCTACTGTCGAGTTATTAATTATTATTTAATGATATTTTATATTATAAATTAGTTACACACATACAAAATGTTTTGTGTTCCTATTTCGAAACGGAGTGACCACACACATTCACATGTTTCGTTAGAACAGTCTTTAAAGTATAGGTGTAGTGTTTTTAAAGCAGTAAGAATTTACCATCAAGTCATCTCAAGTATACAAAGTTACTCTATGTTTACCATTGATGTAAATAATTATTATTATACAACAGATGTAAGAACTAAAGAATGAAAAATATGTAACAGGTAGAATAGTAAGATTTTGAAGAGATTGATGAAGAGTAAAAAAATTTGTTAAAATTTTAGATAAAATAAAATTACTTTTTGTAGTAATTAGTGTTGTCCATATATCACTACAAATTTCTGTTGGGTGATTTAAATTCGTTTCTGTTTCCGTTTGTTAGGTTTCTGTAACCATGCCTTTTAAACATTTACTTCAATTCCAAAAAAGGCAAGATGTAATTATTGTAAGCTAAATACTGTTAGCTAACAACGTTTTCTCATAAAAGTGTTTTATTTTTATTTATAATTAAAGATACGTAATTAAAGATAATTAAGTAAGATATACGATAATAAGAATACTATATATACCTGTAGGTATATATCGTATTCTTATGAGACAGCCAAAACAACAGCTTTTGTTAGAAAGTTATAAATAATAAAGCCCAAGGCATAATTGCTTTTTATTGCCGCATTTATTAGTATCAATATAAATAATATAAGAATATTGTGCAAAATGAAACTACGTGACGTGACACGCACGCGCTAGTCATACGGATTTTCAGTTTCACTGTTCTGTAATCTTTTTTGACGTCGGACTTGTCAATTTATCTGTCATTAAAAGACATGATCATGATGTCGTGTTTCTATAAGGGCTTTTAAATTAAGTAAAATAAATTTCTTAATTATTAATTCGATTGATTTGTACAGTAGATTGGTATGATCATGTGCTGGCTATTTATAAAATTTTAATTAAAGTTTTTGCATTTGAGTGAATATTTCCAAAATAATTTTCACTAACATGGTTTCAACCAAGATGCAGTCGTCATTAGATGACTTAGTACAGTATACGCAGCTTTTCAAACCCATGGCAACGGTTTTGCAAGGAACAGTGCTACCATTCCTTGTAATATATCCAGTGATATTTTATTTTTGGGTCGTTGTATATGGTTTTGAAGAAAACTTTGAGGCTGGTTTTGTAACTGTGGCTGTAGTAGCAGTAATACAAATTCTTATTTGTCTATGCTGTTATTGGAGTGTTCATATACAATGTTTTCTCTCCTGTTCAGCTGTAAGTAATTTAGATATTTTTACAAAAAAATTGGGTCAACATCAATTCATTGTTTATTTTGTTTTTTTTTTTATTTAGGTTAAAGACCCAATACAAGCAGAAATTGTAAAAGTCGTCCCTACTTCTAATAATGGGTCTTCTGAAATAGTAAGACTTCATCACACAAAGGTGGGTTTAGTTTTGTTAGTAAGATATTTTATTGATAAATTGTTAATGTATGTTTTGTTTACAATTTGCAGTCTACAAAGAAGGGTAATCTAAATCCTGATGTTTGGTTTATATTTCAAAAAAGTAAATACATTTATGACTGGGATAAAAAAAAGTTTCACCCAATAGAATTTCCTATTAATAAAACATATGAGGAGTATGCAGATTCTAAAGGTTATTCAGATGATGAATCTATTGAGGTTGCAGAGAAAGAGTACGGCAAAAATGAAATGATAATGGTTAGTTTGTTTCTATTTACTTCATTAAGTCTATGAGTAATATATTGAGTAGTATTATAAAATATTCTTCATTATATATTGTTACAAAAAGTAAAGATTATTACCAATATTTTATAGATTTGTATTTTTCATAAGTAATTGAGGAAGACTAAATTGTCTCTTTATGGTACTCTTTGTGTCTATATTTGCTTAAAATGTTTTATTCTATTATATAATTCAATATATTGTAAAAGTTTCTTTGTATTTCAGGCAGTCCCGGAATTCATGGAACTCTTTAAGGAAAGGGCAACAGCACCATTCTTTGTTTTTCAAGTATTTTGTGTAGCTTTGTGGTGTCTGGACAAATATTGGTATTATTCCATTTTTACACTTGTGATGCTTGTCATGTTTGAATGCACATTAGTCCAGCAACAACTTAGAAATATGGCAGAAATCCGAAAAATGGGTAATAAGCCTTATAACATCAATGTCTATCGAAGTAGAAGGTGGCGCCAGATTATGAGTGATCAATTGCTACCAGGTGATATTGTATCCCTTACAAGATCTCATAATGATAACCTTGTACCTTGCGATATATTGTTGTTAAGAGGATCTTGCATAGTTGATGAATCTATGTTAACAGGAGAAAGTGTACCACAAATGAAAGAAGCACTAGAAAATGAAAAAAATATGAAACAGAATTTAGATCCTGAAGGTGAAGGAAAGTTACACATGTTATTTGGAGGCACTAAAATTGTACAACATTCATCTCCGAGTAAAACAATAACATCAGGTCTCAAAGCTCCTGATAATGGTTGTATTGGTTATGTTATTCGAAATGGATTTAATACATCTCAGGGTAAACTTTTAAGGACCATTTTATTTGGAGTTAAGAGAGTAACTGCAAATAATCTTGAGACATTTGGTTTCATTATGTTTTTATTAATTTTTGCTATTGCTGCTGCAGTTTACGTATGGGTAAAAGGTTGTGAAGATCCAGAGAGAAATAGATACAAACTATTCTTGGAATGTACTCTTATATTAACATCAGTAGTGCCTCCTGAATTACCAATTGAGCTATCCCTAGCTGTAAACACCTCACTAATATCTTTATCAAAATTAGCAGTTTTCTGCACTGAGCCGTTTAGAATACCGTTTGCAGGCAAAGTTGAAATTTGCTGTTTTGATAAAACTGGCACTCTTACTAGCGATAATTTAGTGGTAGAAGGTGTAGCTGGTATTGGAGATCACAAAGATGCTGTTGTCATACCTTTATCTGAAGCACCAATGGAGACCATTCAAGTTTTAGCATCATGTCATTCACTTGTCCAACTTGATGATGGTGTTGTCGGTGATCCTTTAGAAAAAGCAACTCTAAAAGCTGCCGAATGGATTTTAACTAAAGGTGATGCTGTTGTACCCAAGAAAGGAAAATCACCCGGCTTTAAAATTGTACACAGAAATCATTTTTCAAGTGCACTTAAAAGAATGTCTGTTATAGCTGGTTACCAAATAAATGAGCGTGGCTTCATGGAAACTCATTACATTAGTAGTGTCAAAGGTGCACCTGAGACAATAAAAACTATGCTAAAAGAGGTTCCTAGTCATTATGATCATGTTTATTTAACATTGTCTAGAAGAGGAGCAAGAGTTCTTGCATTAGGCTACAGAAGTTTAGGTAAACTGAGTTCACAAGAAATAAGAGATTTGTCAAGGGAGGACATTGAGTGTGATTTAACTTTTGTGGGATTTGTCATAATATCATGTCCTTTAAAAAGTGATTCAAAGAAAGCAATATCAGAAATAGTTCATGCCTCACACTCTGTTGTAATGATCACTGGTGACAACCCATTAACTGCTTGTCATGTCGCAAAGGAATTGAAATTTACCCAAAAGAATGAAGTTGTTATATTGACTGAAGAGAATAGTAGATGGTTCTGGAAGTCTATTAATGAAGAAGTTATTCTAGGTGTAGATGAAAAGACAACAAAAGAACTAACCACCAAATATGATCTTTGCATAACTGGTGAAGGCCTCACATTCCTTAATGAACATTACCATAAGTTAATGATACAATTGATGCCGTATGTTAAAGTATTTGCACGATTTGCCCCAAAGCAGAAGGAATTTGTTATTATTACATTAAAGTCACTGGGCTATGTCACCCTAATGTGTGGAGATGGTACTAATGATGTTGGAGCTCTAAAACATGCTGATGTAAGTATATATTTAGTTTTATAATAGATTTACATGTTTAAATTTTAAAATCATAATAAGTATAATCAGGCATTTGAGATAATTATGCATTATTGAACTTGGCTTATGTAGTAACCCACCCGGATATAAATAAGCCCTTCTATAACCGCCACGGAAGACGCTGGCCCTGTTATAGGAATGCCTGAGGTGACTCCAGGGGAACTTATGCTCTAGCACACCAAGAGCCCTAGGCCATTACTGACATTATTAATTACCGGACTATATTAGCGCTTCTGCGGAAACCACAGACAGGTATTTCCTAAACTGTCCATACGGGGCTACCGGATTATCTCCGGTGAGGCGGCGTGCATGCTTTCCTGGGAAATAGAAGCTTGTATCATATCGTCATTAATCTCCTAGCGCGAGGAGCCATGGCCCTGGGCACCTGCCGGCCCTATCGGAGTTGAGGGGGCGAATACGACTGCCCTCGCTTGCTATCGCTGATTGGGAGCATAGGCTAGAGCGCGCCAGTGACGACCTGTGCAAATATGCGGGAAGTCGATGGATACAGGTGGCTCAGGATCGTGCTTGTAATACAGGCTGTAACACACAACCACTGTTTTACGGTGGTAGGTCCATGCAGCAGCCTCTGCTATCGCACGAATGGGCAGGCTCGTCCGGGTAAGTACCACCAGCTCACAGAAGACCGGCGTAAAGTGGAAGTATAAAACTTTCGCGTTTCGTCTGGTGAGCGAGGTGGCCCGAGCGCAATTTTCAAAAGGTTGTCAACGCACCCACGGGTGCACCACATGTCCATGGGCGGCGGCAATCGCTTAACATCAGTTGAACCGCCTGCTCGTTTGGCAACTTTTCACATAAAAGACAGGCCGACATGATGGTTATGATGAAATTGGACAAGACAGGCAACGGGCACTGACTCCAGGTGGGAGTGGCGATATTGGCGAACGCACCGGAGCGGCCGCGCGAACGGCAGCGGGAGGAACGGGTCGTCGAGCCGGAACCGCCGCGAAGAGTGGGCGGCCCGCGGCCGGACGCCCGCGCGGAGGCGCGCGCCGAGGCGGCCGCACGGCTGCGGAGGGCCATGAAGAAGATAGAAGAGGAAGACCAGCCGCAGCTGGTGCGCCTGGGCGACGCCAGCGTCGCCGCGCCCTTCACCAGCCGCCTGTCCAGCATACTGTGCAGTGAGTCGCGCTGAGTTTTTTCGACCGACTTCAGGAGACGTGCGTGGACTTTGCCTCGATTCGGTTGTGTTATTTTTTATGTTTGTTCTAGGAACTCCACCACGATTTTGTCTGAATTCGGTCGAATTTTTTTTATATAACTCCGCCATTTATGACTTAGATTTAAGTTCTGTTTTGCATTGGGTTCGATTTGGCTCGCATGTGATCCGATATGATCCGATATTATCCGATATTTGGACCTTGGACACCGGAGATACGTCAGTATACTACTAAAAGTCATAGAAAATGAGATATTTGAAGACGGTTAATTTTTTTGTTAATACAAAACTTATATGTCTCCTAAGAGTTTGTTTTACATTAAACTCCTTTGAATAATTTTATTGTGCTCTCCAATTTTGGTGTTATCACAACTTTGGGGGGTAATCTTTAGCTTTTGCCTCCAGAATTTAATTCTTTCCAAGTTGGTACTTACCTACAATTTTTTTTTTTCTGTATATCATGTCAATATTAAAAAGGTAAATTGTAAATTCAATTTGTAATAAAACTCCCAGGAATGTTGTTTGTTTGTTATTTACTTTTATTATATGACAAATATATAAACAAATGTTAGTTAACAGATTTCTGTACAATATTATAGCAGCTTTACATGTTTAAAGCCGAGATGGCTAGCATTGTTCGGGCGCTCACTTTCAATTCAATATACTCGAGCAAGCCGAGTTCATTCCTCCATTCTTCCATTGCCGGTACCAATGAAAATGTTAATTTAAAGTTCATATTTATCACGTTCTCAGTGGTTAAGGAAAACATCGTGAGGAAACCTGCACATTTTCGAAATAATATTAAAAAAAATATTTCGAAGATATGCTAAGTCCGCCAATCCGCAGTGGGCCGCGTGGTAGACTATGCCCTGATACCCACCGTACAGAAGACCCTTTTTTCATGCCTTTGTCCATCATTTTGACGTATATAGGCTGTAACTTTAACTTTACATGTTTATTCCAGTTTGTCACATTATCAAGCAAGGTCGTTGTACTCTGGTGACAACTCTACAGATGTTCAAGATCCTGGCATTGAACGCACTCATTTTGGCATACAGCCAGTCAGTGCTGTATTTGGACGGCATCAAGTTCAGCGACACCCAGGCCACCCTGCAGAGCCTATTGCTTGCATCGTGTTTCCTCTTCATTTCAAGATCTAAGGTAGGATATAAGCTGTGTTGATTAATAATAAAAAATGTCACGTCCACTTACCACGGAAAAACATGTAAGGCGAGATATTTACAATTGGTATATAGATTAGTTTTAACATTTATCCACTACAGACAGATTGGTAAGTCACGAAAACATAGGTCCACTGAAAAAAGAAGTAAGCAAACCTAGTTTCGAAAGTAAAAGATTAATGCTGTAAAACACGAACCAAATGTTAGATAAGACACATCTGTTCGATGATATTCAGGATTCAGACGTTAATTTTATCGCGCCGCAATGCAAAATCCCAAGCCATAACTGTCCCGCTTTCATAAATTTACTTAGGCTTCGGTTAGTTCTCGGTTTTGTTGACATTTTTTTCAACATAAGCAGTAACTCTACAATACTACTCAGTACTTGCGCTTTTCAGTAAGAATTACCTCTTTCGAACTGTGTGAATCATAAATATTCATTAATGGTATCCCAGGGTTGTCTGTCATTAAGATTTGGGAACTGGCTCGCGACATTGAAAACACGACGTTTCGAGCGCAGGCGCTTTTAAATTGAAAATAAAATCGTTCTATTTGGCCGTAAAACGTTTTCAATTTTAACTGTTTTTATTTCCAGCCATTAAAGCAGCTGTCGAAGGAGCGACCGCTGCCGAACATTTTCAACATGTACACTATAATGACTGTGCTGACGCAGTTCGCGGTGCATTTCCTCTGTCTCGTGTATTTAGTACGCGAGGCGACACTCCGTTCGCCAGACAGGTCGGTAAATAGACGGCATTTTTATCAACAAACATGTTGTGTTCGCTTTTCCTGTTCGAAACAACAAAGTCGACTTCAAATATCTCATTCACCATACATTTGCTATTAGATTTTATCGAATTTCCTCGTCTCGTCTTCGAAATCCAAGATAAACTGTCAATGAAGTAATTGAAATGGGGTTCCATTGAAAATATCTTTCCTACAATAATATTTGTTTCAAATCTATTTATAAATGACGTACTTCTGACAAAATTTGAATTGAGAAATCTCTCCTTTTTCCAGTCCCCTAAGTAAGAAGAGATAATTTCTTTTATGGCGTGAATAATTTAAAATACATTTTTTTAAATTTTATCGAAGTGCTACGCTAAGTTTTGTAAGGTTTTGAGAGAATAGTAAATTGTTCAAACTTGTTATATTACATAATATTTTCACTGCAAAGAAATTGGTTTCTCGCCCTTTTTTGAATCCAGCAATTGGAATGTGCTTATTTGTAGCAATCAACACATTCCAAGACACACACTATAAAAGGCCGAACGCTTAAACTTTCACCAGAGCAATCTTATAGTGTTAGTTAATCTTTTTCTTTTGTTTTTACAGAGACATGAAGCCGAAACTAGACATGGATCTGGCGGAGGACGAGGAACGCGAGTTTGCCCCAGACCTACTCAACAGCACAGTCTATATAATTTCAATGGCACTTCAAATATCGACGTTCGCAATTAACTACAGGGTGCGTAGGAAACCTAACATTAGTTATGGAAATTTTGAATAATGTCCTTCCTTGCGTTTGAATTCACTCTAAAATTAATATATTATGGGGGCTTTGAGCTATTATTAATTTTATCCATACGTAAGATAAAACAAATAGCAAATATTAAAATGTGAATTTCATTGATTGGGGAGGAAGGAGGGTCCACATAAAATATGTTTATTTTGCTTGAATAAAGGTTTGTTTGGTCACATAGCAAGAGGCAGTCATATTATGTTCTACTTTGTGAAAACTCTAGGTTTCTTAGAGATTTAATTGCGTCCGAGTGAAGTTAGCTTTATATTAAAAATAATATATTCACAATACCAAATAACACACTTGTTTGCAAGGCAGAAAATGTTTTGGACTTATAAGACAATATCTATAATTAAGCTTAAGCTTTGTCTAATATTTGAGATATACGATCTTCGTTTTGTGCACAGGGCGAGCCGTTCATGGAAGGTTTGCGAGAGAACAAGCCGCTCCTATACAGCATCGTGGTGTCCGGCGGTGCCGTGCTGGCGCTGGCCGCCGGCATCTTTCCAGAACTGTCCAACATGTTCGAGATCGTTTATTTCCCGCCGGATGTGAGTATTGTAATGGATGCACAACGAAGTTACCAGTCCAATAAGACAAAAAGCAAAACTTGGTATAGTCTAGAAAGAATAGATAGCAATGATTTAATTTTCGTTCTGAACGAACAGTTGTGTCCTTTAACATTGGCAGTAGAATAAATTGAACACTAATATTATGCATGTGTGTTTTAAAAGCACGAAGAGTCGAAAGTGTCAGAAAAAATTCACGAAAAAATATAGATTTGATTTGCCCATATAAACATCCTAGTCGGACCCACCCAACGGGGCTAGTGCCACCATAGGGAGTCGGACCCAACGCTTTCACAACGCAACTGCGACGTCAAAGCCGCATAGCGGTGCGTATCGTCCCTGTGCCGGTCGGGCGCGTGTTACATTGACCGCGATTGTTACAGTACCGGCTGATTGTTGTGCAAGTGCTCGTGGCGGACATGGTGTTCGCGTACTTCGCGGACCGCGTCTGCCTGCTGCTGTTCGGAGAGGGCGGCGCGAGGGCGACGTAACGCACGCACGCACGCACGCGCACGCACGTACGCACGCACGCACGCACGCACGCACGGACGGCCACGCTGGCGTGCGTACGCGCACGCACTCAAACCGCTCAACGTGTGCATTTATAACGACGGACGCCCCGGCGCCGCGTCGCATCGGTATTATTTAGATGGATGTGCTAGTAAATAAATTATGGATGTGTCGTCCCGTTCACGTTCAACGGACAGTGTTATATTATATAAATAAATGGACACGTTCCTCAATACGTTACGACTTTCATTTATTAATTTCAACATTTGGCGTTATCTATTTACAATACGCTCTTGCGGTACGCATTTGCGCTCTCATACGACCAAATGCCGCCTCAAGAGATAGACTAGTAAACGTTTTGATACAAAATCCTGGGAGTTTCAGTCGAAAACTCGTTCGCATTGCATTTTTTGTTGGATTTCAAATATCGTAATGCGAACGAGTCTCGAATGTAGCGGTGCGTCGTCCGTCATTGCTATCAGTGCGACCAGTGGCCGTGGTCGCCGACGCCTCCGAGACCGAGACCGAGACCGCCCCAGTTAAGACCGCCGTCCCAGTAGCCATCGAGACCGCCGTAGGCTAGGTCGGTCTGGACGGGGGCGTGCGAGATCTGCGGCGCCGGTGCGATGATTTGCGACGGCACGGCCTTGGTCACGACCGGGGTCAGAGCCTGCGGGGGGTGGACGGCCTGCCCCACCCGTTTGACGACGGCGTTGAAGCCCGATACCGGATCGGCGGTGTACTCGACGATCCTCACGGTGCCGTCGGGTTCCGCTAGCGAGTACGAGCCCCTCACCACGTCGCCTTCGCGCACTTCGCTCTGCGCCTTGTTGTCGCCGGTCACTGGATCGTTCACCGCGTAATTAAATCCATAATTTGGCACCGACTGAAAGGATACATCGCGTTGATTACTTACTACTCTAGCTTTTCGCCCGCGGCTTCGCTCGCGTTGAAGCCCTTAAATAAATATCTTTCAACCCTTTACAAAACGGATTTCTAATTAAAAAAATAGTCTATGTCCTTTCTCAGGCTCTCGCACGCACGCACGCACGCACGCACGCACGCACGCACGCACGCACGCACGCACGCACGCACGCACGCACGCACGCACGCACGCACGCACGCACGCACGCACGCACGCACGCACGCACGCACGCACGCACGCACGCACGCACGCACGCACGCACGCACGCACGCACGCACGCACGCACGCACGCACGCACGCACGCACGCACGCACGCACGCACGCACGCACGCACGCACGCACGCACGCACGCACGCACGCACGCACGCACGCACGCACGCACGCACGCACGCACGCACGCACGCACGCACGCACGCACGCACGCACGCACGCACGCACGCACGCACGCACGCACGCACGCACGCACGCACGCACGCACGCACGCACGCACGCACGCACGCACGCACGCACGCACGCACGCACGCACGCACGCACGCACGCACGCACGCACGCACGCACGCACGCACGCACGCACGCACGCACGCACGCACGCACGCACGCACGCACGCAGAAAGCAGGCACTCTGTAATATATTATATGAATGTAAACAGTTAAAAACAGTATAAATATAATGCATTTTTAAATCATAATTATTAATTTTATGCGGTGAAAAAATAAAATTACTAATAACGTAACATTCCCGAAGTTATTTTTATTCCCGAATTTATTTCTTTTGAATTAATGAATTTATAAATTTGAATATTTTTTTAATATATAGCAGAGTAATAACTTTAAGTAAGATTCAAAGTTCACATAAATGAACAAGAAAAGATAACGGTATTTTGTAATATTGCATATAAATAAACACTAGTATTTATTTTATTTCTACTTACCACGAAGTACTTCAACATGTTGATACTTTTGTTAAACTAATCATTTTAGCTTCGGCAAATCGGTTATATACGTGCCGCGGCAACTCGTTGGGTCAGTCCTTAATATCCTTCAGCGTTTCACGCTCATTGATTATTAGAGCAATTGCTTTTGCTAATAAACCGATTTTTCGTAACATCTCACAAAAACTACTAATTAGCAATTATTTACTTAATGAAATATATATTTTATTTCGTGTTATAACAGTGGAAGAATAAAGGTTACTTTGTAATTAATTATTTTCACCGTATCGTTGGGATTTGCAATAAAAATGAGGCAATTGAATTGATGAATTTGCGAAAAATTTACGCTTGACCACACTTCAATGTATGTATTCATGAGTTGTTAATAATTTTAGGTACTTTGCGACAACATCATTGCAACAAGCGTAGTGTAGGAAATTTAGATTGATTAAGGCTTTATAATCAACTATGATTCTTTTTCTGAACCACTGGTCATCGTAGATGTCAACTAATCAGCTGTCAAATGGCTGTTAAATAATAAATACGTCAGGGCTGTTAAATAATACGAATCTATTGTTAAACTCCCTTTCACCATCCCCATAAAATAAAGAAAACATTATTTATACTCTTTTTAATTTCTCTTATTTCTCTTTGATGCTCAGTTTTCTCACGAATCGGAACATCGAGGTCGTAGTTGCCACAGCACCCTGAGAATTGGTGATACACGGGGCGGTCTTATCCCCTACCTTCATCTGCATATCAATTATTTGATGGCCAATTACAATAATCATTACTATGCCGATGCCTACGCCAATCGGTGCCAATATCACTCGAAAACTGCTGGAATGCTAAGAAAATATATCTTAGGGCTAGTTATTTAGATTAAATTTGCTTCTTTTGAGAATTGACCCTTGGACGCCATAGTTTGTATGGGAATTCTTAGCGTTGCTATGAAGGTCGATGTTCATTTTCATGGCCACTTAGAAGGGAAAGCCAAGTGGGCATCAAAGGATTGCAGAGCGGTCAGAAAAGCAAGACAGCATTTACTGCCCTATTAACTTTATGACGCGGGTGCGATTCTCACAGCGGCGAAAAACTTTTTTCTACAAATTTTAATGTTTAATCTAAAGTGCAGAGACTAGCACTATAAAATTTAAATTTATGAATCGTTGATTGGATAATTGACATTTTGAGCCTTATGCAACTTTGGCTTACCATTTCACCGCCTACACAGAGCTGGTGGAATCGTGGAAGGCGAAGTCTTTTTGTTGGCTTTGTACTTTGACTTTTCGAAGGCTCATTGTATGTATTTTTGTTTATCTCAGTTCACTTATCACGAGAAGTGTTCTGACTGTTCTGTGCTGGGAGAGGCCTATGTTTAGTAGTGGATCCTTTTACAATGATGATGATGAGTGTTCTGAGGGTTTTTTCAGATTAAAATTCAGCTCTTGAATTTCGCCACCGTGCAGGATTACAAACTCCAAAATACTGCCAACATGTTAACCATCTGAATGATTGTTATTTTGTGTTTTTAACTATTTTTATAGCTAAAATGCATTGAAACGCTAAAAATAGAGAAATTCAATGTGTGCCATATCCTCGTATGTTAATACATTATTTACGTATGTTAATACATTATTTACGGGAGAGTTCATTTAATTCGATTAACTATGCCTCGTATTAAAAATGCCTTACCATATTATTACTTGTATCAAGTCAAGAGATACGTACAGACCTATATATAACATATACAAGTTCGTTAAGGTGCGCAATTTAAAGGGTGAATCGTAATTTATACCGCGCTGCAGTTGCAACTAATTCGGCTTCTCTCGACCGCCTCATTACCCCTTTTCAGTTGAAACACTCTTTCCACTCAGACTTACACAAATTCACATTTGCAATCAGAGTCCGGAGAAAAGTCCCCCCCCCCCTGTCCTCTCCACCGCGCCCCTGCACCCCGCGGCCCCAACCCACGCCGCCTTTAATTAACAGAAAGTGGTTCATTAGAGCTTATTCATTAAAGCAAGGAGTAATTAGCGAACTCTAATGAATGCTGTAATAATGTAAGAGCGGCCGCGTCGGACTGCGGCCCGACTTCTAGATTAATCCAGAGGCAGGGCATAATTTAGTAATGGCGTTAATTTATTACCGACTTGATTGCGGGATAAACGATCTACCACTCACGGCCTACTTGTGGGACGCAAATAAGTGAAAGTGCGTAAGCTATATGTACGGGAAGTTTTGTATTATGTGGGACGGCAAAAAAGCGGAATGAAAATTTTCTTACGAATAAACTTTTTTTTTATGGAAAAAGGAGGCAAACGAACACGCGGGTCACCTGATGATAAATGATCACCGCCGCCCATGGACATTTGCAACATTAGTTGAGTCGCAATTGCGAATTCTATTCGATAACAAAAAATTTTTTTTTATAATATTCTATATCAAAAATATTTTTTTTCATGCATGCGTCCCCCCCTGTTTACAAAAGTTTTATTAGGACAATTTTGTTCATGCAAAGATATTTGTTTAAATTACAACATACTGCTTTAATATTCCCAGCTAACTCCGTTTGTTTAAGGAAGACTGGCTAATTTCCATAAAGAAAATACATTACAACGTCACGGGAACATCCGCCTTCATCAGTATTCCTCTGAATGTGTTGTTAGATTGTTAGTGGGGAAATTTCTAACGATGACGGAGATTCGTCGCGGACATGTTTGGCATGGCTCGCTGGTCAACGTACACGCATAATGATGTATGCCAACATTATTAAAGTGTATCATAATAAGCCACAACTAGAGGAAAACATGATACGGCGGGCAGCAAAGGCTCGACCGCTTGCGCGTCGAGCATTGACAATTCATATTTAAATATCAACATTAACATTTTATTAAAATACACTAATAATAATTCGATAATCAATAAAAAAATTAATAGATTATCATGTTAATAAACCTTTCGTTACTTTTGATAGTTTTTGGCTTGAATTTTAAAGTTTTATTTAAATTAATTTGGAACCTAACATGTTTTATGAAACAGCTGTCTCTGTCGGTCCCGTCAAATATAAAATATTTGATAGTTTGTTAAGTCATTATTAAAAATCAAAATACGTTAATATCATAGTTTCTAGTATTGGATTAAACACGAACGTACTATTCTACTACACGAGAGAGACGAAAACCATTACATGACTACTTTACATTACTTTACGTTACCAAACCGGTACATGTATTCCAATGGCATCGGGTACAATAAAACGTGCTCTTTATCCCTATATTCTGTTTTGATTATTTTTTCCTCATGCGATTATTAAGCCGAAAGTACGATATTTAGGCGAAGCATATCAATTAACAATTAAGCTAAACAAGTGGCCGACATAACCTATAAGATCGCAGGCTACTTTAACCCATTTCTAAAAAAAAAATATATGAGTGTGGTATTACACCATCACCGTTTACACACCGGTTACAAATATATGAGTGTGGTATACACCATCACCGTTTGATTTAGGTGCCGACATTAACCTAACTATTTTGCTCATCGAAGTATGAAACAATTATGTATTGTGCGTTCCTTTGGTAACAAGCACCATCGCTTAGCCAATTTCCAATTAAAAGTGGTTATTTATAACTACGATTTTCTTCTCACATTAGACCGATATTAGCAATATTAAATAGATTTATATATTGCTACGTATATAGTACACGTATTAATATTTTATTATATTTACACATATCGGCTTTGCGAAAACGCTAATAAGCTTACTAAAACGCAACTTGTTGGGTTCGATGTACAGTGGACAAGGCGAACCTGAGTGATCCTTGGAACCTACATATAACGAATGCTTCAGGCTTAGTCCCAATTTACAACCTCATTTGCCTCATTTGTTTTCAGAAAAGAAATAACTATGACGCGCTTTTTAACCTCAACTATGATTAAAAATAGTATTGAATTACAAAGCAATTATCTAAATAACTAAGAAAGTTACCATAAAAAAGTAAAGTAATAGCCAATACAATTTTGCTGGATCAACCATTGTTGGCCTTGAGGAGGCCTTTACAGATCCGCCGGACTTGAGGTGGCAGGGCGCTGAGGGCGCCTAGCCTGTACCCTGACTAAGCACGAGGGCTCTCGAGGGAGGGAGCCTTGGCTCGGGCCGGTCGCTATTATTATTTTCATCTGTTTGGGAGGCCGCCAAGCTTAGTGACTTTGGTAGCAAGCTGTAGTCTGTCTGACTAGGGCCTATACAAGTCCACCATGCAATACCATTGCAGATATCACATATCATTAAAATATTTTTTTTGTTATGATTTTGAAAATATTCAGGTTTTCTATCAGCACGTGGTAAGTCAGCATTTAAAATTAACAATTTTATTGGTGCTGGCACTGGGATTTGAAGTAAGGTTGTTCGAGTATAATTAATTAAAACGGACACTATCACGGCTCTAACTAAATAACCAATCACTGTATTTATTTTTAAAATTGATAATACAAAAAACAATTTAATTGCGTAAGCTATGTCTATTACCCATAAATATTATCTCTATTAAACTTTTCGCGGTTTAAGAAATTTAGTATTTTTTATATCCTTACGCTGAAAATGAATACTCTTATTACTAAAATCAGTTTAAACCACAAATAAGGTTGTGCAGAAAATAATGAGTGTTGTTGTTCTTCTTTTTCTTCAACATTACCTCTACTGTAGAATAGGACAATAAATCTTATCCTTTAAACGAGCAATTCTTGTATATATATATAATCGGAATCTCGGAAACGGCTCCAGCGATTTTCATGGAATTTAGTATGTGCGTAGATTCGGGGGTGAAAAATCAATCTAGCTAGGTTTCATTTTTAGAAAATGTCCTTTTATCCCTGTTTTCAGGGAATGAAAAATATAATTCGAATATGACGGTAAATTTCGCCGCAAGAGCAAAATGTCATAATAGCTAGGTCGGTAATCGGGCGGCCCCAAAACAGATGACCGTGGTTCGCGTCACGATCATTTACACATGTAT